GGAGAATGAGAACAATCATTCGGAACTCAAAATCAAACTTCTGATATGGGACTGATTGCTTGGAGCTCTGATTGCTTACCTAGTCTGTCACCTCTTTCGGCAAATCTCCTAGCTCAGCGACTTGGGGGACTCCTACTACATGGTTTGTATCGCGCTTGACCAAGCTTAAAACTACAAGTAAGCTTCAAGTGAAATTGATACATTACCTTCTGCATCTCCACCGGTTAAAGATACCACCCTGGATGGAGGAAGAGTACTTCCAGAGAAGATGCCACATCTACCTATGAGACAGATAAGGCAAGTGAAGACAATATCACACTTCGGTACTTAGAAGTTTCATGATTAATCAGCCGTTTGAATCTTGCAAGTCCCCAACCGAGGAGCTTCCCTCACTCGGGAACTTAAAGGAGCACTGTTTGTACCATACTTGACCAATCCCGAAACTACTGAGCACCGGACAACGTAATACTGTCAAGGACCCAGAAGAGTTTCCCTCCAACCAGGAGGCCAATCACAGTGCGACACGTATCGACATCAGAAGCCAATCATAGCGCGACACGTGTCAACATCAGAAGCCAATCACAACACGACACGTGTCAATGTCAGAACAAAGCTAGAAACTCTTCTATAAAAGGAGATCATTCTCCCACAATATTTCCTAATGTCATTTGTACTAAATCATTCACTAGTACTTACTAAATGAGAGCTTGAACCTATGTACTTGTGTAAACCCTTCATAATTAATGAGAACTCCTCTACTCTGTGGACGTAGCCAATCTGGGTGAACCACGTACATCTTGTGTTTGCTTCTGTCTCTATCCATTTACATATTTATCCACACTAGTGACCGGAGCAATCTAGCGAAGGTCACAAACTTAACACTTTCTGTTATACCAAAGTCGTCACTGATTTTGTGCATCAACACATTTAAATGGGTATACCACATCCGTCGGATTGTAAGTGAACGCCTCAAACAAGTTAATAGGTTGTTCCGTGGTTTGGAACTATTTGAACCAGTCCATGTAATTCTTCGGGAACTTACATGTAAATCTCCATATCTATATCCCCATGGAGAAATACTAACCACATTACATAATGCTACTATCAATCACAGGACGTTTGAAAGAAACCTTGCATCCTAAGGTGTGCATCATATCACACTATTTCATTCATCTCATAATGCTTCCTTTCCCACTTGTAACATAACAGGGTTACTTTGGGCAGTGTAGGAACAATAGGTCCAATACACATTTTGATAAGGAATTTGACCTGGATTGTAATTTCGGTTGTCTAATCGGTTCTACGTTGTCACTTAATCAGCAAAACACGGTTCGATATCGTCGCTTTTCATTTATGTCGATAGCTACCATATAAGTGAAAACATCATCGATGGTAATCTCATTTCAATTCCATTAACTTATCCAAACTAGTATACTGGACCAAGAACTTCAAGTCTTAAGAGTAATCCAGATTAATCTCATATGATGGAAATGATTTAAGATAGCGATCAAGTATGGATTCATTGTTGTGCCGTGTCTTCCTCTTCTAGGGAAGTGAATCCTACGAACCGAGTGATTTGTTGTGCTCCAGGCCAAAATAGATTGATTAGCTATCCACCGATGTACCAGACCGTCCAACAAGGGCGTCCAAACAGTCCAATAGGGGCGGCACACCCTCCAAGGATGTTGACTCGACGTCCGTTAAGTACGTCTATCCTTGCAGGCATGTTTACAACTGGTATGTGATCTCGTCACTTTAGTTAGATCAGAGGAATGCATTTGGAGCAACATTCTGAAATCTAGAATTTATCACGCTTGCTTATCACACTTGTGCGGTATATGGATCGAGATGAGACATAGTGGGCAACGTCCACGCAAATTCGCGCTGTTCTACAGGAAAGTTGACGTTTTTATCTCCCTCTAACGGCGAGAAGATTGTCTCATTAAAGTGACAACCCGCAAATGAGTGTTAAAGAGATCACGTGCAAGGGCTCGAAGAGAGCTAGTGTGAAGGAGAATCATAATCGACAAAGATTCCATTCCTTCTTTGAGGACCCATGTTGGTACGTTGCGGCGGTGCAACTTAGCACATGGAATGCTTACCCAAATGCGTAAATACGAAAATCATCAGGTTTGTACCCAGTAACCAACTGTAACGTCATATAGGTTGGGTGACAATGGGCCTCAAGGTGGACCAACATAGCTGCATACAAGATTGCATAGCCCTAGGCAAAAACCGAAAACTTGGTATGTTTACCAAAATCCAAGTGATCATTTAAATTGCGCTTTATGATCACTAGGCGAGGCTATTTGGGATGAACATGAGAATTCGATGTTCAATTATAAACCCAAAATACATGCAATACTTTATCGAAAATCATCGATGTAAACTCTCTAGCATTATCCAGTCTCCTGGACTTTAAGGGATAAATAGGATGGTGAGCCCTTAATCGGCCAAATGGTTTAGCAGTCATGTGTGTGGACAAACATGTGACCAGTTTGTCGATTCATCAACCAAAACCATAAGTATTTATATGGTCCACATTTTGGTTGGATTAGTCCACATAAATTCCCTAGAATCTACTGTGAAAGGAGAGTCGTTTCGTATCTTTGCAAGGAATGATATAAAAATCAAATTTCCCAAACGAGCGGGCTTTTGGCAAGTGTGCTTGTAGGCACAAGATCATTACTTCGGGTAAGGAGATGTGTCGTAGCATCATTGTTTGACCTAAATGTCCTAAAAAGTCATGTCAAAGCAAGTAAATTGCTCAATCACCAAGCTCCAGGCCAGCCACATGTGGTGTATTCCCAGTTGGGAGACAACTCATTGGCCTCAAATCAAAGCTTCAGGCTCATTTTTGAAGGTGGTGCAAAGATATTTCACTTTATTTTCTTCAGTGGTTTATTTATGATCATTATCATCTCGAATATGCTTAAAAACTCAACGACATGGAGAATTTAAGGTCCTTTAAATGGTGATGTAGTACCATTCATACAACGAGGAGCGTGCCAATGTTCTTAATTAGGTTGGATAGACCTAAAGTCTTTGTTAGAGATGTGATTTAGGTGTAAAGTTAGTGTGCGTAGTACGCATTCATCCAGACAACTAACTTTCCCACATTCCTACCTAATCACATGTTTAATTGAATCGATCACACGTATTAAGAAACATGATTCAATTAACTCATATTCGAGGACAATATCAATAAGATTATCCATAAGTAAAACATACACCAAACTTGAATCCAAGAACATGGAAAAATGTTCACAAAGTAAATGGTTTACTAAAGGGATTCAGCCAAAAAGGTCATCCATGTCAAAATTCTGCTCTTCCAGCGGTGTTTGGTGGAGCAAAATTAGTCTCACGTATTGACAACTAGAATGGTACTCCTTAACAACATCGGTAGGGGCACGAACAGGTGCATAACCAATAGTCTATTCCATCGAGATGGAAATAGATTCTGCAGGGTTAAGGTTCGGGATTATTTTCCCTTATTCTTGAAGTTTTAAGTCTTAGGTACCAAGGATCATGCTTCGGGGCATGATGTCATACCTTGGCAGACCCTGATTCTACCATATGTTGTAAAAACAAACTCGAAATTGGATTGTGAGAGAATATGACATTCGATGTATCCCTGCCGAAGCAGTGCATCACCATTCGGTAGGCTTTGACCGAATTGGGTCGAGCTATTCGGTAGACTCCAGCCGAACTGGGTCCATACCTTTCTCTAACGTTTGTGGTAGTAATCAGATCCGAGAATTTGGTAAACTTTTGCTATTTACACTGCTGCTTCAGGGGCAAGTTAGAAACAAGGAAGGACGAGAAAAGTATTCTCCAGTCAAAATTCGATTGGATTTATAAAATTTAGAATTGTACTCATTCGTGGACGTAATCATGGTGTGCTTCAGGCAATGTCTTTCATGATTAGATAGTCCATATGAGCGAGCCAAAGAGCCATGGAATCCTCGAGTGAGAGGTATTTCCATTTGTAATGCTTCGAGCATAAGTCTTCGAATGAAGATCATGGCAGAGGCTTATTCAGCTCTTCCATGCCATTGTTGGCTTCAATGGTTTCTCAGCTTCTTAATAGTCAAGTAGAGATTCACGTCTTGTACCCCACATAAAGTGGTTTCTATTAGAAACGTCCAAATCAAGAAAATCGAACTTGTGATGGTTCGACAATCCACTGAATTGGAGGGAACAAGATTGTGATTGGTGCTATGGGAATGAATCATCCATAAGCATCAAAGTTAAAACATTCGAGTTCTAAGACATGATTTTCATGAAAAATGTCAGGTTTTCATGGGTGTATTGTTTTATGAAAACTTCGGGTTTCAAAGGCACTAAATTTGAAACTACAAGTTCAATTTAGTTTATGAACGTTTAGTTCATAAAAGAAAGGTTCCTGCAAGAACACAGAATGCAATATACAACTAAGTGTAGTGGATTTAGGTGTGTGAGTGCTTTGGGACTACGAAAGTATGTCAACGGTTCAAAGTATAAAAATAAATTATTAAATTGTTAATGTCAAAAAGTGGGCTTCAGACTAATAATTTTGGATGAATTATCAGATTAATTGACTGCAAGTCACTTTTAATTAATTTAATACATTAGAACCAAACATGGTCAATTGTAGAAGCAAAATAAAATTTGTCAAGGTCCATTAATTATTTAATGTTAGTTGCAGACCACAAAAATAAATTAGGCCCAAATTTGGGCTCGAGTAGGCTGCAATTGACAGCCCAATAACATGCAAAACAAGTTGCATGCTTGCTGCAGTGTTACGGGCCAAGCAAAAAAGAGTAGGTTATTAGGAAAAAGTAGCCCAACAAGGCATGCAAGCTGCAAGCTTGCAATTAGGAAGTGGGCTGAGGGAAAAGAGCCCAACAGATGACAACAGGCTTCATGCTTGTCCGAACAGCAGAGGTCCAATCATGGGTCATGGTCTTTGTGCGTGATAGCCCAATATGGGCTTCGTTTTAGGCAACCCAACGTGGCTGGGTGTGTGCCGTTCGCCAGAGAAATCAAACGGGACGCTTCAGGCGACTGTTCGAAGTGGTCCTCTACGGTGAAACGAAGAATCAAGCACGTGGTGGCCGTTATTCGTGAAGTGGGTCCAAAAAATTGGTGAGATTTAAAGAAATCTCACGAGATTCCCAGGTGATCTCGGATCCAGTCGTCGTAGATGACATGGTGTCCTCGTTTGACGACTGCAGGTCGTCGGAGGTGATGGGTTTCACCAGGAAGTTCAAGGGAGATGCCAGAGAAAGACGGCAGGCGGTCTGGCACTTGATGAGACGACAGAGACGACAGCAAAACGCCGTTATGTTTAATTCGGCGTCTAGGTTTTGGACACGGTTCACAAATTGGCTTGGCTTGGCGGCTAGGGGTGAGTGCGTTTTTCCTTTTTTTTTTTTTTTTTTTTTTTTTCCGATTTTGTTAGGGTTTAAGAAACCCTAAATTTACTTCTAAATTGATTTTATACTTGCAAATATAATTGCGCAATACATGAAACAAATATATAATATATATATATATATATATATATATATATATATATATATATCTATCTATCGACCAATATATAAAACATATACAATATGTTTGTACCATACTAGGGCCTTCGTATTTAGACCTCGTATAAATACTTGGAAAACTCAAATGTAATTATGTAATAAATGAAGGGGCAAATATGTAATAAGTGAGGGGTCATTATTCTATAAAAGGACTCCTCACTCTCCTCGTTAAGGGGCCAAGGTTTTAGGCCATAGGAAGAGAGTACACATAAAATAGGCTAGAGAGCACACTGCCTCTGGCCTTCTTGTATATTCACCATTCAAAGTGAAACAATATCAACATCAGTGTGGTAGCCCAAACATTGGGGTGAACCACGATACATCTTGTGTTCTTTACTTTCTTGCAGATTCACGGTTGGATTTACGTTGTTCCAAAACCCTTCCGGTTTTGTACATCAACATTTGGAGCCATCTGTGAGAAACGACACGAAAAACTATGTCGGTTCTCTTTCATTTTTTCATCTCACCACACTCCACCGTGAATCTGCAGAAACCCACGAACCAAACACCTGCACAATCACTGCAAAACCCAGGTCTTCCGTTTCAGCTCCCGGTCACAGCGACATTAATGGAAACACAGTCACATTCCTTCCTTCTCTCTCATCTCACTAACCCACACAGAGACACCAAGTTCATTTCTCTCTCTCTCTCTCTCTCTCTCTCTCTCAAATTAAGCCCCCAAAAGCCCAAAAAAAAAAAAAACAAAGGTGGAAACGACTTGTCGTGTTCCATTCGAGAGAAGGCAACCAGAAACGGTGCCGTCAGCAACAAACATTTCAATTGCCGCAGTTGCAGAGATTTGAAGAGAGGGCAACTCTTGGAAGAAAAATTCGAATGGGGACTTCAGTTCAGGTGACGCCGCTGTGCGGCGTATATAACGAGAATCCTCTGTCGTATTTGGTCCCAATCAACGGCTTCAACTTCCTCATTGACTGCTGCTGGAACGACCACTTTGACCCCTCCTTCCTTCAACCCCTCTCCAGGGTAGCTTCGACGGTGGATACAGTCCTGCTGTCGCATTCGGATACACTTCACCTCGGCGCGCTTCCGTACGCCATGAAGCAACTCGGCCTGTCCGCTCCCGTCTTCTCCATCGAGCCCGTTTACCGATTAGGTCTCCTCACTATGCACAATTGCAGGATACTGCTGAAGCTGTGTATCAGCAGGCGAAGAAGAACAGGAGAGGACCGAGGTCTCGGATGCACAAAACTAATCTCACCAGAGGATATGCTGCAAGCGTGTTCGCTCTGGGAGAAATTTGACGTCCCAGTAATGCTTCGAAAGTTTGATAGTGGAGTCATGGTCATCCAGAATAAGTCCCACAGCCAAGAAGAAAACTGTTACAGAGGCTACCTACCATCCACCAGTGGAAACACTCATGAAGAAGGCTGTCAGGTACTTGATTGGAAAAACATTAAAGGGAAGAAGATAAAAAGAAAGAAAAAGCAAAGGCAAGTCTGCAGGTAAAAAGGAAAAGTATGTCTGGAGGTGGAAAGACAGAGAAAGGTGCGGTGGAAAAGAGAAAAGTAAAAGCAGAAAGCAAAAGCAAGAAATAAAGGGATGAAAATAATGAAAAAGGAAAAGTATGTCTGGAGGTGGAGAGACAGAGAGAGGTGCGGTGGAAAAGAGAAAAGTAAAAGCAGAAAGCAAAAGCAAGAAATAAAGGGAGGAAAATAATGAAAAAGGAAAAGATGTCTGAAGATGGAGAAAAGCCGAGGAAGTGGAAAGCATGGCACACCCATACCCACTGTCATTGATGAATATTTTATTAAGTTGTTTTCTGCAAACTGGAGCAATTATTGTATAGTTATACTGATGTGTAAAGAAGGCAAAAAAAAAAAAAAAAAGTACGTCCAGTACTCCAAAATTATTCGGCAGCCTGCCGCTATTATCACCAATTAGGTGATCAAAAGTACGTCTAGTACTCCAAAATTATTCGGCAGCCTGCCGCTATTATCACCTATCACCAACCAGGTGATCAAAGTATGTCTAGTACTCCAAAATTATTCGGCAGCCTGCCGCTATTATCACCAATCAGGTGATCAAAGTACGTCCAGTACTCCAAAATTATTCGGCAGCCTGCCGTTATAATCACCAACTAGGTGATCAAAAGTACGTCCAGTACTCCAAAATTATTCGGCAGCCTACCGCTATTATCACCAACCAAGTGATCAAAAGTATGTCCAGTACTTCAAAATTATTCGACAGCCTGCTGCTATTATCACCAACTAAGTGATCAAAAGTACGTCCAGTACTCCAAAATTATTTAGCAGCCTATCGCTATTATCACCAACTAGGTCATCAAAACTACGTCCAATCCTCTAAAATTATACATGAGCATCACTCATATCAACATTCATGAGCATCACTCATATCAACATTCATGAGCATCACTCATGTCAACATCTATAAGCATTACTCATGTCAATCAACATAAACATTCATGAGCATCACTCAAGTCAATCAGCTTCGAAAGCTTCATTTACAGAGCTCCAGCTTCGAGAGCTCCATTTACAAGAGCTCCAGCTTCGAAAGCTTCATTTACAAAAGCTCCGACTTCAAAGCTTCATTTACAAAAGCTCCAGCTTCGAAAGGTTCATTTACAAAGCTCCGACTTCAAAGTTTCACCTACAAAGCTTCAGTGCATGATATACAAAGACCGCCTCCCAACAACCGTCACTTCGGCCCATACATGGATTGAATTTGAAGTCTTCAGCCAACAGACCCTATTGACTGAAGACTTGGGGGACTACACTATTTACCATATATTGGGCTTCCGCAACTGGGCATCATAAAAAATACTTGGGGGACTTAGCCCATTATTTATGTACTGAGGAGCGAACCTTTATTTTATAAAAGGGACTCCCTCACTATCATTAGAGAGCACTCATTATTCATGTATTGAGGAGCGAACCCTTATTTTATAAAAGGGACTCCCTCACTTTCATTAGAGAGCACCTACTATTCATATATTGAGGAGCAAACCCTTATTCTATAAAAGGGACTCCCTCACCATCATTAGAGAGCATCGCCGCCTACTGAGCAACCGCATCGCCGCGAGCATCAACTCTAGCCCATCACTTATGTATTGAGGAGCGAGCTCTTATTTTATATAAGGGACTCCCTCACCATCATTAGAGAGCATCACCGCCTACTGAGCACCGCCTTGCCGCGAGCATCAACTCTAGCCCATCATTTATGTATTGAGGAGCGAGCCCTTATTCTATAAAAGGGACTCCCTCACCTTCAACACCACAAGCCGAGCCAACCAATGCAACATAAGCCATAAGCCGAGCAGCCGAGCAACATGTGCTATTTCTAGTTAACCATCATTTCACATTGAGCACCGCATCATATCGAGTATCAGTACAAAATCACATTATTACTGGACCATTGTATGACTTAGCACACTCTTTCACTGCTTTAGTGTAAATAATATACAAAATCACAATATAGTGATGGGTTTTGGGCTTTTTATTAGTGAATTTTCAATTATATTGGGCTTTTTATTAGTGAATTTTTAATTGTCTTGGGCCCAAGAAGACTTCCTCCTGCTTTTGTTCAAGCTTGAATCTCCATTTGGGCCAATTTGTATTGAGTTGCAGTCTAATTGTTGTCCGAGTACCGTGTGATATGAAAAATAAATGGCTGTGAAAAATTTAAAGCTACGGAATACCTATGCCGGACCCAAGCAAGAAAGCCGTAACCTGGGCGACTCCCTCGGCTCTCGCTCCTGCTCCTGGAGCGTGAATCGGCATCGGTGCTTCATATTGATCCCTCCTAATTCACAATTGTTCATTTTGGTGTGGAGTCTTCTGTGTTAATTTGGTAGCGACCATAGGTATAATTTGTTTACTATGTTTCAATCCGTTTATTGAAAATTTGCATTATAAGTGCATATGCAAATTAAAAATTTAAACTAATTGTGAATTTTTGTGTAGCATGCCGGATTTCTGGGGGATCGCAATAAATTTGGTGTAGGAGATGAGGCTATAAAATGTAATATGGAGGTTAGTGTTTGACTGATTAACTTTTTTCTTTGAAGCAAAAATCATATCTTTTGCAATAAGATTTTGATTGAGAACTGGTGTTTGATCAGGTTTTACCACTTTTTTCGCCCCTGGATGAAGCAGATATCGACCTCCGAGTTTACCGGAACGTACTTTACTTTGTTGGGTAGGTACCGATGTCTTTATTTGACGTGAAGGCTTTCTTTTTTATCTTTTTCGATTATTTGTCTGTCTGGCAATTTCGATTTCCCGATCATTTATTTCTTGTTTATTATATTTTCGTAGTACTCGGTTGGGCTGCTGCCAGAAGCCGCATTTAGGAGTCCCGTGCTACTTGCAGACTCACCCTCTCATTCAAATTTCTCCAAAATCAAGCTCTTAAAGGAAGAGTAAGGAATTAACACACCCTTGTATTTGGAAAATTATGATACTGAAATAACCTATAAATTCGAGGAAAAGAATAGCAAAATGCTGTTTTCCCCACCTCCCTACCTCTCTTCCACCTTACCCTTTCCCATTGCCCACCAGAAAATGAGTTGATTCCTTGCGAAATATTTTTGCAAGGACTTCGGCCTGAACCCTGATGTACAATATTGGAATTCCAACCATTTGCATGCAGCCGGACTTTCTCTTTATGAAAAAATGCCATAATCAATCCCCTTTCCTCTTGGAATTTGCATAACCATTTCACCAGAAACACAGCTCGTTCTCTTTACATGGAGTAGTATATTGATGGCTGATAGGTCGCCATTGACCATGCTTTGGAACTTATACTAACGTGAACAAGCATTCCTTTATACTTTAAACTTGACTGTAAACATAACAATCTCTCAAAAATCATTGTTTTGGTTTTTCCTATAGTTTGGGGCATTAAATAACACTTTTTATACGTAATTCTCTTAGAAGAGTTTTTATACTATACATTTGCTTTGCCTATTCTTAAAAACAAGTCATCCTACAAAAGCGAATTATTTATTTTCTAGTCATACAAGAAAGACAATTGAGTTATTTTAAATAACCACAACGACCTCCTTGTGTTCCTCTTTCTTCGTTTCAATAGTACAGTCTCTTTATAAAAATAAAGAAGGTTATTTAAGGCCCATAATACTGCCTCTCACCCTGAAAAACCATTAACTCGAAAAGTAAGGCTCATAAAATTCATTTCATAATTCTCTATCTCACACCATTGTCTTCTTTTCCTCTGAGAATTAACCTCTACTCTTTCCCCTCTCCCCAGTGCCCGGTTGTTTACTTATCTAATGTAAACTTGGGCGCATGACCATGTCCTCCATTTTGGACCACACTTGAGAAAAGAACTTTTAAAATATCCAGATATTTTGGTCTACATTTATTGAAGCTAAAATTCAATTGGCATTTATAAAAATTTCAGGGGAAGTAGGGCATTTTGCTTGGGTTTCCGTCAATATTGGAAGTCACAATAATCTCTGCAGTTAGAAGGAAATACCATCTTCTTATTGAAAAAAAAGTGTATATATATATGTATATATATATTTATATTTATATATCCTTCAATCCCTTAGGATGTCTAAAATTTTGAAAATTTGATTGCATTTTGTTATTCCTGTCCAAATCTTAGATGTTGTTCTCCCGTCTGTTGTTTGAACAAAGCATTATATGTCGATCAACTGTATTTGGATAAGCTCAGCTGATTATTTATTTTCTTCTTTTAGTGTGCTTTACTAAGCAATATCATTGCTATCATAGAGGAATAGAAACTTGACTCAGTAGATTCAAATTCCCGGTGAAACAATATTTCTGAAGGGAAGTTCATGGTTTAATGGAAGTGGAAAAATTTAGTTCATGTCCTGAATCCTGATACATGTTTTAGGAAGAAAAACCAAAAGTTTTCTTTCCTGAGGGATGTTAAATTTTTTGAACTTCTGTTCTTTCAATACTATGATTTGAAATACCATTTGTTTGCAATGAAATATGGATAAACCATGGTTTTGCTTCCTGCCCTTTAGGATATTTTATTAAAGGGAATTTCCATCTTGGTCTGAAATTGGTTATCAAACTTCAAGTTTTAAGTATTGCTTGTAATAGCTTTATAATAATAATTGTCCCTTCATAGTTTTTACTTTTTATTGATTTTTCTGAACACAACTAATATATGAGGTTACCTGTCATTATAAATTCATCCAGTGGAGGAGGATCAACTATAGTTACTTCAGTTGTTCATTGTAGATCTCTTGCACAGGTATTAATCATGTTCCGACCGAGTTAAATGACTAACCTCCTGCGAATTTTGTTTTAAATTACATATTGAGAGAGCTTCTGCAAGTATTATGAAAGGGTACAAAATTGAGGCGGGAAGATGTGCTGTTTAATTGTCACATTCTGCATCAGATGGAGATGGAGGTTGAGTTGTAGAGTTTGAGGACGGGGTATATTGCCCTGTTGTAAACACTGCCATTCTGCAAGTTTTGGTTAACCCGAAGCAGACCAAAAACTAAATGATATGACTTGTTTAGGGCATGAAAAAGTTGGATGCTGTTGTTTGCATATGTTTGAATTAAAATAGATAGTAATAGTTTGAAATTGTATTCAAAACTTGCAGAAAGTTTCTCAGGTAAACTGCCGAATACCCTTGTACCTGAGGAAAATTGCCACTGTCTCATCCGTAAATGCCTTTTAAAACACTGGTATACGCTCGCATGATCCCAAAGTATAAATATTGTTTCTTTCTTCAATAAAAGGTATATATATAGACTTTGGGATCCCTAAGCGGAAGGAGTGGTTGTTTATAAATTGTGAATCTATTTGATTGTTCTTATTAACCGAAGTGTAATTTTAGATATTCATGAGTGCATATGTTGAGATCTTGACGAGAAAGATATATACTATGGGCAAACATCCGTTTATGGTGGTCTAGCTAGAGAGGAATAGAATAATGTTTGATGGTTCAAGAATGCTTTATGTGACTAACCTGCTGTTAATGTGTGACTAATTAGCTGACAGTTCAAGAATGCCTTATGTTTTCAAGTGCCAAATTTTGACCCCTGCTTTTAACCAAGGAAGAAAATATCGGTAATATCGGAAATATCGGTAGTCCGAAAACACGGAAATATCGATGGAAATATCGGGATAATATCGATATCGATAAAAATTACATGGAAACCACGGAAATTGTAAGAAAAACTTGGAAATTTTTAATGAAACTTTGCAGGATGTTTATTTAGTCAAATATCTATTAGTTTATCACAAAAAATTGAAAGGAAATGCATTGCATGATGGATTTAACTGATTTAAGTTGATTATATAGCGAGCTGGCAAACATTGTGAGTGTAGAAAATATGTAGTAATTAATGAAAGAAGTTTAAACACACCATAATCATTTATATATAATTAATTAGTACAATATTGGGAGGTTTTATTTAGGATATTAAAAAAAAAAAAGGAATTGAATAAAATGATGAAGAATAATGTGCCGAATTTGACACTTTAAATTTCTTACACATAAGCATGTGTCTAGGCGTTGAAGTTTCAAATTATAGTATATCAATTAACGATTGAAAATCAATAGGTTGAATAAGACTAAACTTTAATTTGGATGCCGATTATGTTTTTTCAAGTTTATATAAAGTAAAAGAATTGAATTTTGGAAGCCAGGAGTGTGTCAATTGTTTTATAATTCATCCGGTCAAACCACGGCGAGTTGGCCGGCGTACAAGGTATCAATCTCTTCGTCTCGTTGAGTAGTACAACTTTTCTTTTTGTTTCACTCAATTTCGTTGAGTATTGAAAAAATTATACTCATTTGAATCTTACCCAGTTTCCGGCGACCGTAGTGACTTTCGAGGCATTTTTCGGCCAAACCACGACGAGTCAGACGTCATGTGAGGTACCATTCTCTTCATCTCTTCGAGGGCTACAACTTTCGTTTTTTGTATTGCTTGATTTCGTTGAGTTTTGACAAAGTTATGGCCGTTTAAAGTGAGTGTAAATTTTCGGCCGAAATTCTGATTTTCTCTCCCATTGGGCGAGTCCCACGTCGCCCATGCGAGGGCAGTGGGCAATCATGAAGTCCTATAAAACCCACATTCCCCTGTTGAGAGAAGCATAGCTTGTTCGGTCTTTGGGCTATGATCAAGTGAAGTATGTGTTGAGTTTTCTCAACTTATTTAAGTATTTTTTAGTATTATGTCGCGATATTATCGATAATTTTAAAAATATTGCGATATTATCGTGATATTTTAACAAAATCGTTTGGATAGTTAAAAAAAGATTGAACTTCCAAAAAAACGATAATATCGGCGAAATATTGCCGATATTATCGATTTTTTCTACCATGCTTTTAACACACTTTTTTTTTTTTTTTAATTGGACGGAAAGCTACAGAAACTATTACAAGGTTTGTAGTTGACCATAAGATCTTAAGTTTAGAAGTCATTTTATTTATCTATTCTCTTGAGTTTTTTCTCTTGTGGCAGAGGAAATTTGCTAGTGCAATGAAGGAAAAACTGTGCAGATTCTCTGAAGCTCCACATCACGGTTTGTTGTTCTTCCTATTTCTCATGTGTTTCAATGATTTTACGAGTGTACTTTGTCTATTGCATTATTAAAGCTTTTTATTTTCTAGTATTGATGCGAATTTCTTTTTTCAATTAGCCAATTTGGTTTTTCTGTTTGCTACATCAATGCTTGATATTTTGCATCTTGTCACGCTGTTAAAATGGTTATTAAGTATCTACCCAAAAAACAAAATATATTTTCTGGATAGTTGCCTCTAGGTTCAAAATACATTCTTCTTTTTATTTTCTAGCCTGTTGCATCTGTTATATTATGTTTATTTATTTTTTTGTTGAAAATATCAGGAGATTGATGGTATCGAGAATGCTGAGAATATTGCTAGTCATGCTGGTTTAACTGAAATGGTACATTGTGCTTTATTTGACGATGAGTGTCTACTTCACCATTGTTTTATGAACTTAGGGTGAAATTCTCGTGTTTGTTCTCTCCAGGTTATAAACTGCATTAACAAGTGTGAGGGTTGTCATCATGCTGAACTTTATAGCAATATACTGGTAAAATGCATGAAAACACTTTTTTTTTCTCCCAAGTAATTAACAAAAAAAACAATAGCATAAATCAGTTTATTATATAGACAACAAGATGTAAATGAGTATCTTTTGCCGACCTAAGGCCCCGTTTGGGGTTTGCTGTGCTTTTAGAATAAGCTGTTTATTTTGAGGACCTAAAGTGTTTGGTCGTTGAAGATGTAGGAGTTGTGGGTCAAAACAGGTGAAAGAGTGCTTCTAAAAAAATGATTTGAACAGAAGCATGCGGAGCCGTTTAATTAAATATGTATTGTCCTCGCTTGTTTTCAGAAATGACGTGAATTACCCTGCACAGTTTTCACCCTCAGTGAAAACTAGGTTTCAAAGGAAAATGGGTGAAAACTGGGTTTCAAAGGAAAATGCTTGGGTACTCACCAGTGAGTACTCATCTTTTGGTTTTGTCAAATACTATTTTAACACTTGCTTTATTGTTTAAAAAAATAATGAACATGTTATCTCATTAGTGAGTACTGTATTATCTGGTTTCAAATATTGGACTTGAGGTGTCGATTGACATGTGTGGCAAGAGAAAGTGGGTGGCGCATCCAATATGGAGTTGTGAAGCTTTACTTCACAGCTCATTATTCTTTTTTAGCTCAACAATATCATATGCTAGGCTTAGTGTTGCAAATTTCTATGGGCATATAATATGCAGACTTCCTATTATCAATAAAAGTGCATTCTCTCTATGGGATTCCTTGTCCTGCTTCAGGAACTAATTTGGTTTCTTGTGTTTTTATATTATATAGCTTACTGGAGGCCCAACTTCAGAGCCACAGTTGAAGGAGCGTCTTCAGAAAGATGTGCAGTAGGTATGGCTTTTCAAAGAAGCACTGTAATGGCTTTTCCCCACCAATGTTTGATTCTTGAATTTGGATTCTCTCCCTTAATCAGTGACAGATTGAGAGGATTAAAATAGGTGAATTCTGTAAAGGGGGATGTTATTGCTCATCCCCTAAATTTCAATTGACATTCCTTTTTATGCGCAGAAACTTTTGAATAATTTTGAGTGGAAGTAGTTAGATTGATACAATTTTGAGGAGTGCCAGTTTACATGATAAAATTATTCGTACTCAGTCTTGTATGAGCCATTTTGACTCTTGGAGCAAATTTTGGTGATGTTGCTCTACATATTTAGTTGGAAAGTGGATTTGTGGAGTTTGTTGGAGATGCTCTTATTGTATGGATGAAGTATCAAAGTGTCATCTTCTATCTGCAGAGGTCTTCTTCCCATCAAGTTAAAGTATTAACGAGACCAAGTAAAAGTATGCAGTGTTTCTAGTTCTTCACTCTCTTTGTACATGCTACAACAGATAAATTGTGTTCTAATTTATGCAGCAAACCTTCATGCTGTAATAATAGTGGTATTATAAAATTTAATGTACGGAAAATACTTCCATGCAATTTGTCTTCCCTGCCTTGTTATTTATGCAGTGTTTGGGTACGTGGTAGTCTATTGGCATCTCTTGGTTCATTCCAGCACATGTGGTTAACCAAGAACGAGTAAGTGTCATATTTTTGTGTGTGCTTGCACTTTGACTAGTATTGGAGTTACACATCCTCATTTTATGAACGTTTAAGCCATCATGACATGTGTGGCAATTACCTAATCATATTTTTGGAAAGTGTTACCTAATCATATTTGGTATCATGTAAATGCTATTGATAGGTTCGAATACTATGGGTATGTCAGGGCAGAAGAAAAATGGGAGTTTTATAAGGACATCTAGCATGAATTCGTATTTGTATATGCTTGAATCACAGCTTAAAGCTATAAGCCAAAGACCTCACAGCTTAAACCCAGGTCTTTGGCTTATAGCTTTAAGCTGTGATTCAAGCATATACAAATACGAATTCATACTAGATGTCCTTATAAAACTCCCATTTTTCTTCTGCCTTGACATACCCATAGTCTTCAAATATATCAATAACATTTACATGATACCAAATATGATTAGGTAACGCTTTCCAACAATATGATTAGGTAACTGCCACACATGTCATGATGGCTTAAACGTTCATAGAATAAGGATGTGTAACTCCAATACTAGTCAAAGTGCAAGCACACACTAAAATATGACACTTACTCATTGGTTAACCACATGCGCTGGAATGAACCAAGACATGCCAATAGACTACCACCTACCCAAACACTGCATAAATAACAAGGCAGGGAAGACAAATTGCATGGAAGTATTTCCGTACATTAAATTTCATAATACCACTATTATTACAGCATGAAGGTTTACTACATAAATTAGAACACAATTTATCTGTTGTAGCATGTACAAAGAGAGTGAAGAACTAGAAACACTGCATACTTTTACTCGGTCTCGTTAATACGTTAACTTGATGGGAAGAAGACCTCTGCAAATAGAAGATGACACTTTGATGCTTCATCCATACAATAAGAGCATCTCCAACAAACTCCACAAATCCACTTTCCAACTAAATATGTAGAGCCACATCACCAAAATTTGCTCCAAGAGTCAAAGTGGCTCATACAAGACTGAGTACGAATAATTTTAGAATGTAAACTGGCACTCCCCAAAATTTTATCAATCTAACTACTTCCACTCAAAATTATTCAAAAGTTTCTGTGCATAAAAAAGTATAATAAAAAGGAGTGTCAATTGAAATTTAGGGAATGGGCAATAACTTCCCCCTTTACAGAATTCACCTATTTTAATCCTCTCAATCTGTCACTGATTAAGGGAGCGAGAATCAAACATTGGTGGGGAAAAACCTATAAAAGATCAAAAGCCATTACAGTGCTTCTTTGAAAAGCCATACCTCCTACACATCTTTCTGAAGACGCTCCTTCAACTGTGGCACTGAAGTTGTGCCTCAAGTAAGCTGTATAATATAAAAACACAAGAAACCAAATTAGTTCCTGAAGCAGGACAAGGAATCCCATAGAGAGAATGCACTTTTATTGCGAATAGGAAGTCTGCATATTATATGCCCATTATAATTTGCAACACTAAGCCTAGCATATGATATTGTTGAGCTTAAAAAGAAAAAATAAAAAAGAATAATGAGCTGTGAAGTAAAGTTTCACAACTCCATATTGGATGCCCCACACTTTCTCTTGCCACACTTGTCAATCAACACCTCAAGGTTCAATATTTGAAACCAGATAATACAGTAGTCACTAATGAGTACTCTATGTACTCACTTTTCTATTTGGCCCAATAAAAAAAGGCACGTGTTTCTTGTTTTTAAGTCTAAGAAAAATTAAATAACATGTTCATTATTTTTTTAAACAATAAAGCAAGTGTTAAAATAGTATTTGACAAAACCAAAAGATGAGTACTTACTAGTGAGTACCCAAGCATTTTCCTTTGAAACTAGTTTTCACCGAGGGTGAAAACTGTGCAGGGTAATTCACGTCATTTCTGAAAACAAGCGAGGACAATACATACATATTTAATTAAACGGCTCCGCTTCTGTTCAAATCATTTTTTTAGAAGCACTCTTTCCCCTGTTTTGACCCACAACTTCTACATCTTCAACGACCAAACACTTTAGGTCCTCAAAATAAACAGCTTATTCTAAAAGCACAGCAAACCCCAAACGGGGCCTTAGGTCAGCAAAAGATACTCATTTACATCTTGTTGTCTATATAATAAATTGATTTATGCTATTGTTTTTTTGGTTAATTACTTGGGAGAAAAAAAAAGTGGTTTCATGCATTTTACCAGTATATTGCTATAAAGTTCAGCATGATGACACCCCTCACACTTGTTAATGCAGTTTATAACCTGGAGAGAACAAACACGAGAATTTCACCATAAGTTCATAAAATGATGGTGAAGTAGACACTCATCGTCAAATAAAGCACAATGTACCATTTCAGTTAAACCAGCATGACTAGCAATATTCTTAGCATTCTCGATACCATCAATCTCCTGATATTTTCAACAAAAAAAATAGATAAACATAATATAACAGATGCAACAGGCTAGAAAATAAAAAGAAGAATGTGCTAACATTGACATATTACATATTATTACAACTATTCCATCCACAAACTACATCATCAAAAGCATTTGCTAAAGTTGACATCACAGTAACATCTGTCATAAGGGATCCAAAATTTCTTATCAGGTGCAACTAAAAGCTAAATTTATGATGGGGTCCAACTATTTTTTTCATATTTATATTGCAATATAAAATGCTTCAACTCCATAAAAAAATTATGAAACTGGCCAAGCTCCCACAATTCATAAGAAGTTGATAACTTAATATTAGAATTATTCTGTTAAAGCCAATTGATAACTACTTACTGATCAGAAATATTATAACAATCCACATAAACAAACTCAAGACATGTTTTTCAAGCCATAAATTTTGTTTCCATAAACAAATGTTTGAGATTTTTGCATAGTAAACAAATGCTAAGATGAATCACATATCTTACTTTAGCCAGGGTTCACATACTAAGATGAAACTGGATTCAGAATCCTCAATTAAACGGAATCAGAAAACAGATGATAATATGTTGGCACCAAGTAGCGTATAAGAAATCTACCTGAACCATGGATGGGCTAAAAGGAATTTCAGGGATCTGGAATCGTTCAGCTCCAACTTCAATTGTCCTGAATCACATGATCATAAAGTAACTAAAATCCTTATTGAGTGCTTCTATGCCCCCCACCTTATTCTTCACCTACCCTAAAAAAATTCTAATACTCTCGTGGGTGCATCCTAACAAGTAACAGCTCAAGCTTTCAAAAATAGTGGTGGACCACAAAAATTTAACAATTGTCACAACAACAAAGAACATGATGAAGATTAGATGACATCATTATCTTACTTGATCAATTAAAATGGTAGCTGACACATCATTAAACTTCTTAACAAGGGAAGTGGCATCATATTCCTGCATTTTTGCATTCAACTTGTTACAAACTAAAGACCATAGGATTATGGGTAAGAACTAAAACAATTAGATTTTTATCTTACTTCCCAATCGGTTTTATTACCACCTAGATAATTTGAGAAAGCTTTCTGGCCCCATGGACAGTTTGCAGGATTCACAATGGGTGCAAAGGCAGATACCGACTGGAAAATGAATTACACAAACGAGTTAGATTCAATGTAAGTTTCTCCTATGAATCCACTCCAATAATTGCATAAAGCTCCCCTGCAACTCAGTAACTTTTATAGAAAAATTGAACTTTCCAAAGTTGTTAAATTACAGTCAACTTCTTTTAAAAAAAAAAAAAAAAAGCAAGCTAAATTGTGGTAAAATATTTATATCTCCTACGGTCCTACCTTATATTTATCCAGGTTTTTCAGGTAAATTGTCAAAGCACCGTGCCCACCCATAGAATGACCAGATATAGATGCCCGCGATGTATCAAGCTGTGAAAAAATTTCATTCAGAAGCTGTGGCAACTCCTTGACAACATAGTCGTACATGCGCCAGTTCTTCCATTTCTCTTGAGTAGCGTTGAGATAAAATCTAGCACCTGTTTGAGGAGATAATGCACACACACATACACAAAACTCAGTGATGGTTCTTAACAGCTAAACCCTAAACCCACTACCCGGCAAAACTTGTCCCTCTTGCTAACTAAAAGGAGTTTGCATTATAGCAATGCATTGAGTAATTTATTTTATATTTATATATATATAACCTTTTGCATGGAAACTCTCAAGAAATCAGAAATTTTGCAGGAAACTCTAGAGTTCTGCCTCTTTAGAACCTACACATTTTTATATCCACCTTGTACGTGAACAAACATCCTTTTCCAGTATTACTGCTTATACACCTCAAACATCCTCATCTCCTCTCTACTCATTTTATGCACATTTTTCTTACTGGTTCAACATCTTGCCCAAAAAAAATAAAATAATAGGGCATACAGTATTTGAAGGAGGAGAGGAGGAGGAAGGAGGAAGGAGGAGGAGGAGGAGGGGGGGGGGGGTGTTGGCGGCGGTGACCCCTAATTCATCTTAACTAGATTTAAACTTAGGCCTTATCTAGGGGATCCCTATTGACTCTCCCTCCACCTTTAAGATACACTTGACCATATTGTTTTCCCTTTCCGAATAATAGAACTATTAGTGCTTCCATTTTAACAATTTAAAATACAATTGCAAGATAAAGGTTATCTGTCCTGAGTAAAGTAACAGTTCGCAAATCCCATACAACGTAAGGCAATTTTTGCAGTAATACTTCATAAAATGAAATATAACAGTCTAATGTTGCGTACCTACACCAAAATCCCAGCTATCCGCCTCTCCTTCTATAGACAAGCCTCCTATTAATAGTTTACATGCAGAAGTAGTGAGCACAATAGGAACATAATAACAAAAGATATATGGTGGTTTAGAATGGAACATATAAAATGACAGCCTATCATAAGAAAATGAAAAAGTAACCGTAAAGAAATAATGGGTTAGTTACTAACAGCAAATGTAGTTTTGACTATTTACTGCATTTTTTTTATATTTACAAATAATCTACAATATTATCCCCAGTTTTTTGCATTTTTACTGGTGGTGACACTCCTAATTTTTATTTTGTTTTTCCTCTGTATTTCTGTGTCTGTGGGAAGTGGCTGTAATTAACTTATAGTGATTAGACAAAGTTGGATGAAAGTTGGAGGGACTTTGGCTACTTGTCAGGACACACAACAAGGAACAAGGTCCAGCCCAACTATATTACAACAAAAAGTGAACATTTATGATATAAAAACGTTTAAAGGTCATTATTATCCATGGGAAACTAACAACAAAATGTGCCATGAAACTCACGGCTGCGGTCAATTCACATTATAAGTTAACAACTTGTGTTCTTTTTGGATGTCAATCGCTCAGAATGGCGAAATACCATGGTTATTACATCAAATTACTTGATTATGTCACATTCTACGACATTTGAATACATGACCCAAGCAGTTGCCCATTGTGGTCGCTAGTCAAGTTGTTTAAAAGGTTACCAACTAACATCAGTCCTACTTCCCTGAAAGCCTAGCCAAAGGACAAACAACAATAATAATTTTTTCACATCCACAAAAAGCAATTAAAGCTAGCATCACAGACACAATAATCAATTGGAGTTAAAAGCAGGAAGGGCTGCCGACTTACTTGGAGATGTATCAGGGGCAATCAGAGCAACACCCTCACTTGAGGCAACACATTGAGCTCCTGATTTAGTTATAAAATTCTCATCTGTGCAGGTAAGGCCAGAGAGCCAGTAAAGTACCTTCTCATCAAAAAACTTGATTATCACACATTGCAACATACAAACTTTGATAGCATCATATGGACAAAAGAAAACTCGAAAAATAAATTCAAGAACATGAAGAAGTACGGGAAAGTAGTTTCAAAATGCTAAACAAACAATGCCAAGAGAAAATTTATGCGAATCATTTCAGCTATAGAAGGTTCCAGTGAAAACTTTATGAAAAACTTTTCAGCTTACAATTATTTGCACCCAGCGAAAATTTTATGATGTAAAACTAAGTCAAGTAGTGCTACAAGCATCAACGATTGTCCCTACTTTTAATTCTAAGGAAGACAAACATCTCCTCTTTCATTTTGTTCATAGATTTTAAGACAGTGAGACAAAACTATCGATTCAAATAATAAATCGAGGAAGCTTCCTTTTCCCTATCTTAAATTCCTTGTCTATGATGGTAATAAGGGATGACTGAATTTGCAACTATAATGTTGTATGTACCATATAACTAATTTCACTTTCAATAAATTCGGTTACTAGTCTGCCCTATAAGAACCCGAGCTGTCGGGCGGGTCTGTAAACTAAATTAAGGGATACTAAATTCAAAATTTCTCAATCAAGTATAGCAAAACCATTATCAATTAACACCATATACTCACAAATACAATAGATTTCAGCCACATAACCCTACAATATAACAATCAGATAAAAACCCAAATAGTATATTCATTGGGAAATGAAATTTCAAGAGGTTACACATGGGTGAGAGAGAGAGAGAGAGAGAGAGAGAGAAAGAACTTACAGGGAATCGGTGGGAAAGGGAAGGAGAAGGAGGAAAGTAGATGTGGAAGGTCATGGAGCAGCCGAGCGTAAGGCTGAAATGCTTGTACCTCTTGTTGTACCCTCCGAACATCTTCGAGCGGCTGATCTCATTCGGCTTCGTCTCCATCTCTCTCTCTCTCTCTCGCTGAGCTTCTTCAGAACTGAGTGAAGTTTTCTTCGGTACAAGTAGTGATCGGTGCTCTCCGATTGTCAGTTTCACTGTTTTGGTAATTGCATTTTACACCTTTGTAATTTTGTCTATGTAAAACTTTGGTGCATCTCTTTTAAAAATTAACATTTTAATACCTAAAGTTACAAATAATACCAATAGTCATACAACAATTGTTAATGTATTTGTCATTAGTAATATAGTTTGACTTCATGCAAGAAAAAAATTAAACGAGTGATATGTCAAGATATAAAGTTAACTTGAAAGTTGCACTAAAAGAATGGCAATAAAGTGTCAATGTTAAAATAAATGGACCAAAATGTTATTGACTCTACACCAAAGGGGTGCAAAGCCTAATTAGCTCCTTTTTAACCCAACGATATTCTAAGGTGAGTGTATCGTATATGGAGTATTATGGACTCGACTCTGGAATCTAGTGTATTCAAGATTAGACTTGTAAGGAGTACGTCATCTTGTATAGAATAAAGACTTTATGAATTCATAAAATTTATGAAAATTTTGTGATATTTAATTATGATTTTGTATTAAAAAAATTATTGATTTTAAAGAATTTTCATAGACTTTTAGTTCTTTTGTAATAAGTTTTTGTCACATCAAATCCAGCATATCTCTTTAAGATTTTGATGGAGTTCATTTATCCTTCCACCACCATGTTGCCACCACCATCACCTTACCATGACCATCTCATCCACTCCACTACAGCAATTGTCACCATTGCCATCACCATAGTCATTCCCATGGGCATCATCACCGACACCACCACCACAACGCCTCAACTACTACCACTTTATCATGACCATCACCATGATTTCATCACTACTGCCACCACTACCATGCATCTTATCACATCGGTTACATTTTGTGGTTGTCGTCACAACCGACGCCACCTTCATCATGACTCCCAACTTTACCACCACTATCACCACCCCATCACTTGTACCGCTCGCACCCTTACTCCACCACCCGCTGTCACTATTTCACCCATACTATTATCATCACCACCAAAGGCACCACCTTCACGACCACTATATTGCCGAAAGCCACCGCTTGGCACTTCCGCCACTCTATATGACCACTTCATTATGGTTACAGTCAACATTTTAAATAATGAAAATTTAAAAATAGCAATGTTAATTAATTTCATGTTATTATATAGTTATTTCATAATTGTTTCTTGGGAATCGATAGTCGTATACTTCATAATTCACTTATAGTAATGGGTACTGGTAAAAATAAGTTGAGAAGGTTCTAGTACAGAGTTACGTCAAAATCACTATGCTGCAATACTAAGTTTCTTGTTTAATTTCATTTTAATTTTGGTGATGCTAAACTTCTATTTTATTTATTTTACCTATATTATTGTATTGTCTTTGCTAGTTGTAATAAAGACATTAAAATTGAAGTTACAACTAACTTCGCTTTAAAAATATTACTTTTAGCAATATTTTTCGATCATGACACCAAAATATTACTTATTAGACTATAATAATTAACATTGATTTGAAAAAATTTCATGATATGTTACATAAATTGTATTGTTTGGGAATGATTTTTATGAAGAAAAGTGTTCTCGATTGTTGCTAGGCGTTGTAGGTAATATGCGGTGTTAAAAATTTATTATGTGTGTAAAGCATGAACAAATGGTGCAAGAGAAGCATAAACAAATAAATCATTATTATTAGAATATAATAACTTGTACTTGGTAAAAATATTATTTTTAACAACATTTTTCGATCTTGACACCGATGGAATTTTGGATGATGATATCTCCATCTTTTGTATTTTTATTGTTAACTCATTATCAATTTTGAAATATACATTGTTCATTCTCAAATATAATTTTTTTTGTTTTTATCCAGTTTATCATGTGCACATACAAGGGTGTGAAAAATCCATAAAGTCAATGTCTTTGAATGTTATAAAAAATTCTATTTTGATGAAAAAAGTTGGACAGATGACGCACTATTTCTGTTGTGCTATTTGAAGTACACAAATAAATATATTCCTTTATTGATTTTTCCAAATTGAGAAAAATAAATATTTAGTTATTAAATTTTTGACATGTTATATGTGGTAGTGTCTCAATTTCTTGAAGTGACAAAAACTAAAAAGTTTATCTTTTATAGGATTTGCTTTAAATCTAATCAAGGTGCCTTCACATCTTATAAGTATCTCAAAGAAAGAGCTTTGAGATTGAACCCAAGATGTTAAAAACTTTCATGATGTGTTACATAAATGTATTTTTTGAGATAAATTTTTAGTTATTATTTTCATGCTCTTATAATAAAGAAAAATTTTGGAGGATTTTTATGAAGAAAAGTGTTCTCGATTGTTGTTAGATGTTAAAAAGAAAAAATTAGGTTTGTTTTAATTTTGTCTGAGATTGTAAAGTATGAAAAAATGGTGCAAGAGAAACATAAACAAATAAATCATCATTATTAGAATATAATAACTTGTACTTGCTAAAAATATTATTTTTAGCAATATTTTCCGATCATGGCATCGATGAATTTTGCATGATGATCTCGTCATCTTAGGTATTTTCATTGTTAACTCATCATCGATTTTGAAATATACATTGTTCATCCTCAAATATAAGTTTTGTGTTTTTTATCCAGTTTATCATATGCACATACATGCGAATAAACCATAAACTTGATGCTTTAGAAGCTTATAAAAACTTCTACTTTGGGTGATTCTAAACTTTTGTTTTATTTATTTACCTATATTATTGTGTTGTCTTTGTTAGTTATAATAAAAACATGAAAATTGAAGTTACAACTAACATTGCTCTAAAAATATAATTTTTAGCAACATTTTTCAATCATAAATGTTACTTTTTAGACCATAATAATTAATATTGATTAACAAATTTCATAATGTGTTACATAAAGTGTATTTTTTTTATGATTTTATGAAAAAAAGTGTTCTCGATTGTTGTTAGATGTTAAAAAAAAAAATAGGTTTGTTTTGGTTTTGTCTAAGATTGTAAAGTATGAAAAAATTGTGCAAGAGAAACATAAACAAATGAATCATCATTATTAGAATATAATAATATGTACTTGCTAAAAATATTATTTTTAGCAATATTTTCCGATCATGGCATCGATGAATTTTGCATGATAATCTCTTCATCTTTTGTATTTTCAATGTTAATCTTATCATCAATTTTGAAATATACATTGTTCATTCTCAAATATAACTTTTGTGCTTTTTATCCAGTTTATCATATGCACATACAAAGGTGCGAATAAATCCATAAACACGATGTTTTAGAAGCTTATAAAAAAATTTACTTTGAGATATAAGTACTATTTATGTTGCGCTCTTTGAAGGGCACTTATATTGTCAAGCTAGAAAATTCAAAGAGTTTTTTAAGTACACAAATGAATATAGTGTTTGATGATTATTTTCCTACTAAAATAAAGTGTTTTTTTTTTTATGGAGAAAAATGTTCTCAAGTGTTGTTTAGATGTTTTAAGCAATATGTGGTGTTAAAAGGTTGATATGTTTATGCTTTAGTTTTGTGTTAGATTGTAAAGTATAAACAAATGGTATAAGAGAAATATAAACAAATGAATCATTACTTATTATAACATAATAGTTAACATTTGAACAAATGTACAAGAGAAACATAAACAAATGAATCATTACTTACTAGAACGTAATAGTTAATATTTGAACAAATGCTGCAAATATGATCTATCGATGACTCAAACATGATAAGAATGTCAAACACAAGTGCCTTTAATGTTATATTTTGTAAATAATGACAAAACACAACTAAAGTGTTTTCATTATCAAGTAAGATGGTTTGTACAGTGTTCGATGATTATTTCCTTACCCAAAAAAAAGTTTAATTATGTGGGAACAAAAGTAAGTAAACAAGCTTATCTAGATTGTAGAAACTTATAGTTACATGGGTTTAGGAAATGTGTCAACTCTTGTTTACTTAACATAACTAGATGAAGTAATAATTCAATTTACCTATAGATGAAAACGTTGCAATTAAAGTCGGTGATACTTTTGATGATTTAGATGATAATGGAGAAAAAGTGGTTTATGATACGAGTCATATAGCTGGTAAAGATAAAGAATGGGTAATGTAATGCATCGTATAGTTTTATGTTTTTTAGAGAGACAAATAAGGGAAAATATCATCCGAAATCATCCACTACAAGGAGAGCGGACAAAAATTTAAGAGAGACAGATAAAGGAAGAGTGGAATTAAGGGAAATAAAAGCAATTAATTCATACCAAAGGATTATAATGCTTTGTAAAACAAAATGTTATATAGCAGGAATTAAATCAGAATAGCAACACATACAAAGAGGATTTGAACAGAATGTAGCATAGATGTTGAACATCGAAAGGCAGTTGTTCATTCCTGCGTTTGAAGAGATCCCCAATTGCAGCAAAAACTTGTTGAGAATATGGATTGTTAGGTAGTGAAGACCCCTTGAATGGGAAAGAGAGCAAAAATGCCTTATCTTGACTATTGTATATAAATATGGTCCCTAATTCTATGGTAACACCAAAGACGTTTTGGGACTCTAAGTATGAACAAGCAATCAGGACATCCCTAATGAAATATTTAACCAGCTTAGACATGTGGCCCAATTTGTGATCCATAATGTCATTGCGGGAGTCATCAATCCACTCAATGAGGGTAGTGATTGGTCTATAGTCATAAAAATGCACTCCTTTACAGTTATGAAAGCAGTAACCTTTAAAAGGTTATCATGCAAATATTTCCTACTATATCAAATCATTCTCTTAACAATACGATTTCTGTAAAAAGAATGGAAAACAACATCAATTTTCCTCTAACTTGATTATAAATAATGATACAACACAACTAAAGTGTTTTCATTATCAAGTAAAATGGTTTGTGCAGAGTTCGATGATTATTTCCTTATCAAAAAGAAGTTTAATGATGTGGGAACAAAAGTAAGTAAACGAGTTTATCTAGATTGTAGAAACTCATAGTTGCTTCGATGATTATTTCCTTATTAAAAAGAAGTTTAATGATGTGGGAATAAAAGTAAGTAAACGAGTTTATCTAGATTGTAGAAACTCATAGTTGCATGAGTTTAGGATATGTGCTAACTCTTGTTTACTTAACACAACTAAACGAACTAATAAGTCAATTTACCTACAAATGAAAACGTTGCAATTAAAGTCGGTGATACTTTTGATGATTTAGATGATAATGGAGAAAAATGGTTTATGATACGGGAGTCATATAGCTAGTAGAGATAGAGAAGGGGTAATGTAATGCATCATAAAGTTTGATTTTTTTTAGTTATTATTTTCATGTTCTTATTTACTATATTTTACAATTGTTTCTCGGAAATCGATAGTCATATACTTCATGATTCACTTATAGAAATGGATAATAATAAATAATAAAAAAGAGTTGAGCTAATTCTAGTAAAGGGGTATATCAAAACCACTATGTTGCAATACTAAGTTTTATGTATTGATTTTATTTTAGTTTTGGTGATTCTAAATTTCTGCTTTATTTGTTTTATCTATATTATTGTGTTGTCTTTGGTAGTTTCTATAATTACATGAAAATTAAAGATACAACCAACTTCATTCGAAAATATTAGTTTTAGCAACATTTTTTATGATGACATTAAAATATTACTTATTAGACCATAAAAATTAATATTGACTTAAAAAATTTCATGATATGTAACATGCTTTACATCAAGTGTATACTGTTTGGAGATGATTTTTATGGATAAAAGTGTTCTCAATTGTTGTTAGACGTCGTAAGGAATAGGTGGTACTATAAGTTTGTTGTATTTATGCTTTAATTTTGTCTGAGATTATGAAGTATTGACAAATGGTGCAAACGAAGCATAAACAAATGAATCACTATTATTATAACATAATAATTAATATTTGAACAAATGTGCAAAATTATAAATGATCCATCGATGGCTCCTACATAGTGCAAATGTCAAATATAAGCGACTACCTTTATTTTCATAGAGTTTTTTTTTGTTAGCACCCCACAAATTATTAAATACGCCCCATATTAAAACTTATTATTAAGTAACTTGTATACCCTTACATAAAATGACTATTTAGACCTCATAATGTTTTAAAAGTAAATTAAAAATTCTAAACACACCCCAAAATCACTTTCAATGTTTATGTCATAAGACCATTTCTTTTTTCAAGTTTCAAAGTCACTTGCATCTACTATTGTAGAACAAAACCCTAACCAATAAAAGCATAAACATGTTGATAAAAAAACTGTTATTTTTTACTATCGATGTTTGGAGGCTTAACATTATATAGCACTTCATATGTTTTCATTCTTTTAGTGATTTCAACGACATTGTTATGTATAGTAAGGCTACCAATAGACATTCCATCTAAGAGAAACATGATTGACACTAAGGCTATCAATTGGTTGATATCTTGATAAAGATGACTTTTCGTTCATGATTTATTTGGTTGATATTTTCTTATTGTTTCGTTGCTGTGTTATGATACCCCTTGTAGATACTGACAACACACCTAAAGTGTTTTCATTATCGAGTAAGATGGTTAGTGTAGTATTTGATGACTATTTCCTTACAAAAAAAAAAAGTTTAACGATGTGGGAACAAATGTAAGTAAAGGAACTTATCTAGATGGTAGAAACTCATAGTTACAGGGGTTAAGGATATGTGCTAACTCTTGTTTACTTAACACAACTAGATGAAGTAACAAATCAACTTACCTACGGATCAAAACGTTGATATTAAAATGGGTGATACTTTTGATGATTTAGCTAATTATGGAGTGGTTGATGATACGGGAGTCATAATAGCTGGTTGGGATAGAGAAGGGGCAATGTAATCGACATACAAGTTAATTTTTTTTTTGTTATTAGTTTCATGTGCTTATCTAGTAAAGGGTATGTCAAAACCACTTATATTGCAATACTAAATGTCTTGTTTTGATTTCATTCTAGTTTCGGTGGTTTTAAACTCTATTTTATTTATTTTACCTATATTACTTGTGTTGTCTTTGCTAGTTATAATAAAGAAATGAATATTGAAGAAACAACCAACTTCCTCATAAAAAAATTATTTTTAGCAACTGGCACCGATGGAATTTTGCATGGCGATCCCTCCATCTTTTGTATTTTCATTGTTAACTCATTATCAGTTTTGAATTATGCATTTTTCATTCTCAAATTTATATTTTTGTGTTTTTATCCAATTTATCATGTGCACAAAAAAAGGTGTGAAGAAATCCTTAAACTCGATTCTTTTTAATCTTGTCCAGTTTATCATGTGCACATCGTTCATTCCCAATATCCAATAAGGTTTGAAAGTAAAATTTAGTGCTCCAAAGATACGAAGTTACACCTTCTTTGCTTTATACCAGAAAATCGCCTTTGTCTTTTCTACCAGCTTCACTAAATCAATTTATTTACATATCAAATGAAATATGTTCTCGGATTTCACAATTGTAATTTACGTATTTTGTATTTGCAAGATTTTACATTATTTCTTTTCGTTCATATTAGAGCTTTAGTTAATTCGTTACAAAGTTTGAATTTTCGTAATTAGTTATTAAAATTCTATAGACTTTTTTCAAATAGATCTCAATCCCATGAACACGTGGACGAAAACCGTTTGCAAAATAGAGCTTTAATGAAGAAATTACCAGTCGCTAAAGTCAAGGTCATTTTTGTCTTTTGACAGAGTCCACATAGGGAAGACCCTAAAAGGCTGGAGTAGCCTTTCCTCTTTTAGAAAGTTAAACGACAACATACGTGGAGGAGAGGTGATTGATCACGACCTAGTTCCTAAAATGTCGATTTCTTCCTTTTCTTGCACTTATGATCGTCGCCACCACCACCAAAATGCAGCTCGTGACCCCAAGATCAATACCCATCCAAGATTCACTCAAGAAACAACTAGAGGTGGCAATTCGAGGCCACATTGTTTAAGTGATGCAATGAGTTTCTCGCATTTTTTCGACAAGCTCGCAAAACTACAATAACCCAAACAACTTGGGATCGACTCACCTTAGATCTAGCTACAAACTCTAGGCTTAGCTCCTCAATCAGACGTCGAACGACGACACACCGTGCGTGCGCCATTCACGATTTTCGAGGGACTTTTGACAATTTCATCGTCTTCTGTCCACTTTCAGACTTAGTGTCAGGTATAAAACTTACTCCACTCGTCACGATATTTGTTTTCGTGTATTTATGGGAATTTTGGTGTTGGTCTTTAATTCCGACAAGTTGTGTTTCTAAGCTAATATTGATGCCCTGAATCTGTTTTCAATATCTGTTTGGTGTGCTTTCGTCGTTTGAGCCTAGTTTCGTAAATGGCCGCCATTAAACCTTTATGGTAGGCGAAGATTTGACTGTTGGATCGTTATGAAATTTTAATATATTGTTGTGCCCATTATTTGAGGATCTTAGAAACTTACAAATTGGAAATAAAATATATGGACCTTCCATATTGGTTTATGTAGGGTTTGTTGACCTTACAGATGACCACGTTAACCAAAGGTTGACTTTTGATCAATTGTCTCGAATTGGTCTTAAATACTGAAATTAGAATCACAAGAAACCAGATAAGAGTCTTATGGGCCTACCTTGGTCAGCGAGCCATCTTGGGGATGTATATCTCAATTTGCATGCAAGTGGCACCTTATCGGAATTTACCTGTTTATTGAGACAACAATGATAATGTGTAGATTCTAGTATGAAGAGATAAGTCAAGGACCACATTAGAATTATTCCGCATATCTTATATGTCAGTTTGATTAAATATTGGTTGGCTAGATGTATGTGTGCTTGCAATTGTGATTCATGGTAAACTAATGTATGTTGTAGAATGTATATTGTGTGATGATGTGACTACACCATGTAGCAATGTGGTACATGGATGATTCTGCTTGGTTAATTTGGTTAGTGGACCATGTTATTATGTTTATGTCTATTGCCCATTATCATGCCTGCTTAATTTGCATTGGAGATTATACGCATTTTAGGAGTAACTTCACCTAGTTAATTCTCATTGGGGTGTCATTGCTTACTTGATCTCATTATACCCATAGGTGGTTCTGCCTAGTTAATTTGCATTGGATGCTTGTCTATGGTTTTGCCTGGTTAATCTGCATTGGGGATTATACAAATTCTAAGAGTGACTCCACCTGGTTAATCTGCATTGAGGCATCACTGCCTACTTGATCTCATTATACACATAGGTGGTTCTGCCTGGTTAATCCACATTGGGGAATCACATTATTGAATGCATGCCTATGGTTTCGCCTGATTAATCTGCACTATGAGACCATACACATTCTAAGGGTGACTCCGCCTGGTTAATCCTCATTGAGGAACCATAAGCACTCCAAAGTTAGTCTAGAATCCATTTCCCTAATTGGTTCCGTTAAATGGTTCGGAACCTTATCTTCATTTGATTTTGTTGAGTGGTCCAGAATCCCTTTCCCTAGTCGGTTCCATTGAGTGGCCCATAATCCTATCTTCTTTGGATTCCGTTAAGTGGCTTGGAATCCCTTTCCCTAATTGGTTCCATTGAGTGGTCTGAAACCCTATCTTCGTTGGATTCCGTTGAGTAGTGTGGAATTCCTTACCATAATTGGTTTCGTTGAGTGGCTCGAAACCCTATCTTCATTGGATTCTGTTGAGGGGTCTGTAATACCTTTCCCTATTTGGTTTCATTGAGTTGGTATGGAACCCTGGATTCTTGTGAGTAGATGTTGCTCAAGGTTGTGTTTGTAGTTTAAGGTTAAAATGTTGTTACTTAACATGTTGAATGAAAAGATTACAATATGTTTATAGGTTTAGAAGAGACAATGTATTGGTCATTTGATTGAGTTAAGGATGACGCACAAAAGATTTGTTAGCCATAATTTTTTAACGCAATCTCAATTGGTTGTTTGCCCACATATATTAACTTTGAGGAAAGGTGCTTCAACCATGTTCTAACATATATTCTAAAGTTGGTATTGTGTAATGGTATATGATTAAGATTACTGTGTCATAGTTCATACCAAAATTTTAGTGACGCTGAAATTCTAACTAGATTTTGCTAGAACTAAGGACTATCTACCAACAATCAATATGTGGATTATTGATAATTTGATAATGCTAAGATTCCATTTGAACTTAAAAGCCAAAAGCTTCCAATAAAATTTAGGTTTTTCTAACAAACTATCATTCTAAACAAATCTCAAAGTAAAACAATAACACATGCATGTATGTAGTTAGAATCATATGTTTCCAATAAAATTTACCTTCCAAATCTTGTTTTCAGTTGTGGACAATCATATGTGGCTTTATGAGAGGAATTCTCAACGTCAACCACAAATGTGTTGGTAAGAAAATGTTGGTCAGTTGGTCAATGATAGGAGCATATTTATGCGACTTAGTTAGCTTGTTTCTTGGCATTTATGTTGTTAGTTCGTAGTTATTTTAGTATTTTAAGCTATTTTCGTGTGTTTGTAGGTCCAAAGGGTTAATGTGGCAAATAAGTGCATTTTGGAGCATTTTTAGGCATGGAATGGATGGCATATGCTTGGACCAAAAGGAATGGACGAAATTTGAAGTTTGTGCATCATCCTCTCCCTATAAATAACCATTTTAGCACGCTCATTTCACCCAACACACACATTCACCTACCACTACATCCACTCATTTCACCCAACACATCCATTCTCCAAACATCCATCCACTACACCCATTACATCCACTCATTACCAAACACTCATCCACTACACCCATTACATCCACCCACTACACCCACTACACCCATTACATCCACTCATTACCAAACATCCACCCACTACACCCATTACATCCACTCATTACAACTCCATACACTCCTCTCCCTAGCCTATAAATACATCCACCCTTCACCATAATTTGGGGGCCATCATCCAAAGACACTACATTTCACATCTCACAACTTCATTCACAAACACAATTTCCTTGCCGTGACCTCCATCCATTCATCTAGCCATACTACATCTCACCAATCCATACACTTTCATCTCTTAGCCGTGCAAATCCATTCCATCCATATATCCATACACATCATAGACACTTGTCCTACAACAAGGTGGTGAAAACAAAGGTCCTTGGCGTTTCAAGCTTGGAACTTTAGAGCGTTTTAGGTGTACTTCGTTCTTGCTTTCAATGTCTACTTTGTTATTTTCTAATTTTGTTGCAATTATGAGTGGCTAAACCCCTATTTAGTTAAGGGGAAGTTTGAAGCCATGAATATGCTTGAGATTTGAATTGATTTCTTCCAATTGTGATTTGATAAGTTGTGATTGCAATTCAATTATCTATTTTATTCATAACTGATTCTTGTATGTTTATTAAGGATGCATACTTAGTTTTCATGCATGAATTAGATGCTAGAATATAAATGAGTTTCACCTAATCGTTACAAGTTTATATTCATGAGTAGTGAAGGTTGTTTATCACAATCGCGTTAATTGAATTCTTGGCAATTGTATCATGCATTCATAGTTATAATTGCCTCGTCAACACTTATGATTTTCATTGAATGTAATGATCTCTGATTGTATCTCTATTATGCATTCATATAGGGGACTTTTAGAGAATGATTTGGGTTGTCGCATGCATTCATCCAATTCAATGAGTAAAGGAAAATCTGAGGGTTAATTTGTGCATCACGGTTAATTTGGGGTGTTGAGCATCATAGTTTATTGAAAAGCAATTGGAAATCAATTTATGTACAAGTGTGTCATGTGCGAAGAACGGACCTCTAACTAATCCATCCATCATCTCATTTCTTAAATTCGCTTTACAATTTGTCTAATTTTATAAGTTGTTTGTTCGTTTCGAATTCGTCAAAACCAAAATCCCCCTTTTACTTTGTTGTTTCAAAGTGTTAAATTTATATTTCGTTAGTGTTTTTTAGTGTTTTGATTCAAGTCAAAACCCAAATTTCGTCCAAAGTTGTGTTAGAGTCAAATCTGGCCAGTAAGTGTTTTTAGGCAATTTTGAGTGTTTTTTAAGTTGTTTTGCGTCTTTAGAATCTGTTTTGAGTCATTTGAGTCTATTCAAACGTTTTTAACTTTGTTTTTATGTCTTTGAGTTAGTTTAGAGGTTTTAGCAAGCCCTCATAATCCCCGGTTTAGAACGATCCCTACTTGCATTTATACTACAATTTGACAACAAGAGGGATTAATTTGAGTGCTTAACTTTCATCGCATCAAATTTTGGCGCCGTTGCTAATCCCTTGTTATTTCTTTTTGTTTCTTTTCCTGTGTTTTTGTTCCTAGTTGATGACTTTACCTGTTTTCTTGTTTTAGGTGGTTTATGACTCGAAGTTCTTAACCTATTCATAAGCACATCCATGACTTTGACGATGATTTTGAACGAACTTTGAGACGAATAAGGAATCAACAAGAACCCCAACCATCTCAACCTGCACCGGATCTTGGAGAAGACAAAGTAGAAGAGCAAGAGGAGCCCACGACACAGGTTGTAGAGGAAGATCCCAACATGGCAGCGGACAATTGAACAATCAAGGAGCTTTCCGCTTTGGGATTGGACAATGCCATTCCCCTATGCATCCAATACCCCATGGCTGCCCTAGGGAAGACGAACGAGTTCAAATTGAAATCAAGTTTGTTGCATCACATTCCTAAGTTCCACGGGATGTCCATGGAAGATCCTAATAAACACTTAAAGGAGTTTAAGGTTGTTTGCTCGAGCATGACCCCTATGAACGTTGATGGAAGCATTCTGAAAATGAAAGCTTTTCCCTGTTTTCTCTTAGAAAAGGCTAAAGATTGGTTGTATGAGCTAGCCCCCGGAACTGTCACATCATGGGAGAGTATGAAACGGGCATTTTTAGAGAAGTTTTTCCCAACCTCTCGAGTCATTCTATTACGCAAAAGGATTAGTGGCATTCAGCAAAAACCAAGGTGAATCCTTTCCCACTTACTATGAGCGTTTTAAAACCCTTGTTGCTTCATGTCCACAACACCAGATGAAGGAGGAGCTTCTTCTTCAATATTTCTACGAAGGGCTTCTACCAATTGAACGCAAAATGCTAGACGCCCTATACCCAAAACAAATTGCAGTGCAGAACCAAACTTTATCACAAATTAATCCAAACCTCAACTAATAGTCCAATAGGGAAATGAAATTACCCAACCAAATCCAGCATACCCAAAACAAATTGCAAAATCCATGAAATTGAAAAGCTACAAATCAGAACCAATGAAATTGAAAGAAAAAAAAATCTGCAAAATGCATTACGAGGGTGACTAGGTGAGAGACTAACCTTGCAAAGGAGCGAATTTGTTGGTCGAGACTTGAAACGGCGAGAGGAAGTCGTGGGTCGCACGTGGGTCACGGGGGTGAGATATTGAGAGTGAGACGGCGTTGCGTCAGCGAGATGTGTGAGACAAGTCGCAGGTCACTAGGAAGGAAGAAGACGAAGCGGAAGAGCGGCAAAGCTGGGAGGGAGATGTTCCATTGTGAGAGTACAGAGGAGAAGGATAAGCTGATAAGGGAAAGGGAAGGGAATGGATCTGTTTAAGGTTTCAATCTTTCAGAATGAAGTGAAGAGAGAGTGACCGAAGTGAACTCTGAACGACGCCGTTCAAGGAAAAAAATCATTAATTTATAATTAAATATAAAACGATGTTGTTTTGCTTATAATTCGGTTCGGTCCGGTCCGGTTTTACACTATCGATTTGATTTTTTTTTTAGTTTGGTTTTTTTCGGTTTTCGGTTTTTCGAACCGACCCCTGTCTTTTGCTACTAATATAGTGCTATCATGGGGTTTTAGCGCTGGTTATGTTAGGGAGACTAAATTGTAGATCAAATTTGTAAATCAAATGACATTGAAGTTGATGTTCAAATTATTATCTAAATGTTGATTAACGTGTTTATTTTTTATTAGTGTAACATAATTTAATTTGTAAATTTAGTTTACCTAACATTACTCTTTAGACTTGTGATAAAACACCAACCAAAATCATCCAATATTAATGACCGTTGGGGAAGTTGGCAGAGTCTAAAACCTATAATGACTATGGCCCCCAACTCAACCTCAACTGCACCCATTAATGCCCTTTATGTTTTGTTTTTTATGCTCCTCATCCTGTCTCTGCTGTCACGCTTTCTCCCTTCAATGATTCAAAGCTTCTTCATGCAAGTTACATTTTTCTCACCTCCATTGCACTTTTCGGTGTCTGTCCGGCTTCAATTTTCCAGCATGATAACCACCACCAAAGCTGGCGGGTCTGGACTCACAGGAATTTAAGTGAACAACATAAAACAACTTCATGACCAGAAAGCCTCATCCGACAAGGTTGGCATTTTTATTGGACTTTCTCTTTCTTTTTCTTGTTATTTAATTTATGAGCTTTCACATAGTGTTTTTTGAAATTTATGGTTTGGTAGATGAACAACCTCAGGCGGAGATAACAATGTCACTATTTGAATATTTGGGTTTTATTTATTTATTTTTTTGGCATGTTCTTTGGAACTCTTAAATAAAAAATGAAGAAAGATACTTGCATGCATTGAATAAAGTCCTATCCTTTTTCTTGTTTGTATCAGTTTTCAGCTGGATTTGGTTGGCAACAAATCTTGATTGGTGGGTCGGAAAATCTGAGTGAAAAGATGAATAGTGTGTATTGGGAGAGAAAGACGATATAAATATTAAAGGTGGGTTGTTGTAGAAATCTGTCTAGTTTGAGAATTTTTCAAGTTGCATGGAATTATAGAAGATCCTGCATAAGGAAGTAAGTAGTGGGGAATTTTGGTTTTCTGTGTTCTTTTTGACAGTTGGAGATGGTGGGGAGCATTGAGGCTGTGAATCGTAATTTATACTCGAACGGATCTGTTCAGAACTTTAATGCATTGGAGGAGAAGCTTGACGAGCTCCGAATCCGCCTTGGAAAGGCTAATGGTGATCCTTTGAGAATTGTTGGTGTCGGTGCGGGTGCATGGGGCAGTGTTTTTGCTGCTGTGTTGCAGGATAGCTATGGTCAATTTCGAGACAAGGTTCAGATAAGGATATGGAGAAGACCGGGAAGAGCTGTTGATAGAGCCACAGCTGAACATCTTTTTGAAGTGATCAACTCGAGGGAGGATGTGTTGAGGAGGTTGATCCGGCGTTGTGCGTATTTGAAATATGTGGAGGCAAGGCTGGGGGATCGAACTCTTTATGCCGATGAGATTTTAAAAGATGGATTTTGTTTGAACATGATCGATACCCCTCTGTGTCCTTTGAAGGTTGTAACCAGTTTACAGGAGGCTGTTTGGGATGCTGATATTGTGGTGAATGGCTTGCCATCAACGGAAACAAAAGAGGTGTTTGAAGAGATAAGTAATTATTGGAAGGAAAGAATCACAGATCCTATTATCATCTCTTTGGCGAAAGGTATTGAGGCTGCACTGGAACCTCTCCCGCATATCATAACTCCCACGCGAATTATTCATCGGGCGAGTATGTTCCTTTTCTTTTAAATTTAACTGTCACCCTTTAGCATGTTGGTTTAACTTTACAGTATGGTGGAAGAATGGAAGGAGCGATGGTTTATTTGATCTGGTTTTATCCTTAGCAGAATTGGTAGATGTTTAATGGATTTTTGCACGGACAATCTTATGGAACTTTTTGGATGGGTTATTACGCTGTTTCTTTTTATATCTACACGAATTTTAAGTGTTATTGCATTTTTAAAACCTGATAAATCATGTTGATTGTTTATGTTTCAACTTTCAACTAACATTGCATGGAAATTGGATGATGATACGTTACTATCTTACACTTTTCCTTCACTGTTATAATGTTATTTCGACTTCACATTTCCGCTCATTCTTTTCTATATGACTCGCAGCTGGTGTACCTATAGAGAACATACTTTATCTGGGTGGCCCAAACATTGCCTCAGAAATCTACAACAAGGAATATGCTAATGCTCGAATATGCGGAGCTGAGAAGTGGAGAAAACCTCTTGCAAAATTCTTAAGGCAACCCCATTTTATTGTCTGGGACAATAGTGATCTTGTTACACATGAAGTCATGGGTGGCTTAAAGAATGTCTATGCCATCGGAGCAGGTAAATCTACAATTCATTCTGATAGATCTATCTCAAACAATAAAGGCAGCGTCTAATAAAAAGGAATGAATTTTAGGTGTCATAGATTGAAGGTAATTACAAGGAACTATTTCTGGTACCAATCATGTTAATGTGCAAATGTCCTTTTTCAGAAACATGAAAAAGGAATAAAGGGAACGAGACGTCAAATTTTCTGCTTGGTTATTGTTGTTCATCTTCATTTCAGTAGTGGTAATTTTTGTTCAGCTTCATCAAATTTTGGAGCTACGCACACCTGATATGTGTTAATGAGGACAATCTGAAGAGTAGTTTGCTTTTATATGATTTAGAGTCCTGTTTTTATGAGAACACTACTCATCAAATCTGTCCTCATTAACACGGTATCAGGTGTATGAAGCTCTGAATTATTCTAAGAGGTTATCCTGATTCCATTATTTATATGCTGACTATACAATTTCAAATGGAATAATTCACAGTGCCTGAACGAATTTCATGTTTGTCCTGGCAAGAATTTGTTCAGGCACACTTCCAGAAAATTTGTGCTGGAACAAACATGAGATTTGTTTATGAACCGTAGTTGCCCTGCATGCTAAGCGAAGCTTCCAGGAAGTGCAGGAAACAATACAATTTCAAATTATATGGTATACATACTGTAGTAGGATGTCATAAATGAACCTTCTGATTTGCAACTTACAGCCGTTTTTCATTTTAATTTTCTCAGGGATGGTAGCAGCTCTCACAAAGGAAAGTGCTACCAGCAAATCTGTATACTTTGCACATTGTACCTCGGAGATGATATTTATCACTCATTTGCTGGCGGAAGAGCCCGAGAAACTTGCAGGGCCTTTGCTGGCTGACACATATGTAACCTTGTTGAAAGGTCGCAATGCGTGGTATGGGCAAATGTTAGCCAAAGGAGAACTAAACCGGGATATGGGTGAAAACATCAGTGGCAAGGGAATGATTCAGGTATCAGTTGTTATTTTCATTTCAAGAAGATGTATGACATTATATTGAAGTGTAAGAATCTACGAAGAATGTGAATGCTCCTGCATAAGAGCACTAGCAAATATCTGGTCTCACTAAAACGTGCCCTTGTCATTCTGTTGAGGAATTTATTCGGATGTGGTTAAAAGCACTTTCCTTCTAACTTGTTACTGATCAATAATGCTCTGTCTCCTCTCCTTCTAGGGTGTCTCTGCAGTCAAAGCATTTTATGAACTTCTCAGTCAGTCGAGCCTAAATGTGTTGCATCCTGAGGAAAACAAGCCTGTTGCTCCCGTAGAGCTCTGCCCCATCTTGAAGACACTATATAAAATATTGATAACAAGGTAATGTCCTGCAAACTTATCATTTCCCTTTTTTTTTTACCGAAGGCTAAAAGAACACACTAAAGTCATAAAAAAATATTGACTATGAGAAAATTAACTAAGAGGCTTTTGCGTAATTCAAAAGATCACCCTGCATTGGTATAACCCGAATCAGATGTTCTGCCAATGCATGTGTAAATTAAGCCTAGATTGCGTTTATTTTTCAATAACTCTTACAAGTATATGAATCCTTGGCCATGTGTATTGTTTGATCACCAGGGAGCAATCATCACAAGCTATTCTTCAAGCGTTGAGGGATGAAACTTGAACGATCCCAGGGAACGCATTGAGATTGCACAGAGCCATGTCTTCTATAGGCCTTCCCTTCTCGGACAGCCTTTGACTAGTTTCCGGTTGCAAGATAAAGTGGTAATATAATCCCTGTGAAAGCATGGTATCACAGGACTGCATGGTGAAAATAAGCATGTTGGTTTCGATAAATGTTAATCATATATATAACTTATTTTTGCTTCCTAAGGATATGATAGCTTGGTTTTTGGTTGTGAACTTGCGAGTAGCCCAATTGATTTTCATAGCTCTTGTATGGGAGCTGGATTTGCATTGTTTTGTGTATCATATTATTAAGATACAAAAAACCGATGTATCACATATTTGTATAGATGAAGGCATACCATTTTCCGACCATACGGTAACAGAAAAACATCGTTTTTAGGTCTTGATCATCTTTTCTTTTGAGTAAAATGCTGCCTAAAATAGTGTAGGTGCTTGTGGTTGCATGCTTATGTACAACGTAAATTATCTCAAGCCCTTGGAACTGAAGGACGAAAACGCTTTCTTCTTGCGTTAACATGAACATTTTCGTTCACAACCAAGAAATCCAATACTAGTTGTCTTGAATGCTTTAGGTAAATTTTGGGATTGTGTCATTTCCTGGTGGAAGAGGCTCTTTGTGCTTGGAGGTGGTTTGAGTTGGTGCAAAGTCTTGGTTTGGGTGCGAAGTCGTGGTTTGGGTGGGCATTTTTAAGACGAGATTGACTGTTTTGGTTTGGTGTTATCGTCACATTGGAAAATTACTCGTATTACTCGTTAAAATACGAACTGAATGTGAATTGAATAGGAAGGAGAACAAAGAAGAATCAATAGTATAATGTCCAAGTTATGATTGAGAACCATTTTCAGTAGACACAGGATACATACAACAATTTAACAATATAATTTTAGAGCAGAGCAAAAAATTCAGAACTGACTACTGTGATTCAAAAACGTGCACCAATTAAAAGCGTTTTCCTCTCTTCTCCTTTTAGTGGCAATAAAGTTTAATCATCGAGTCTGCATCGTCATCAGACCATGTTGCAATCCTCTCTTCTCCTTTTAGTGGCAATAAAGTCTAATCATCGAGTCTGCACCGTCATCAGACCATGTTGCAAACAACGGTTATGAGGCGTGTTTTTTTAACAAATGATATTAACTACACCAACTTAAGGGAATTACACTCTTATAAAAATGTATTCGACTTGTCACATGTAGGGATGGGCAACGGTTATGGCGAGCTGGTGACCGCGGTTATTTACCCATAACCGTTTATACTCATACCCGCATAACAGTTTACCCGTTGGGTAATTGCCTAAACTGTTATACTCATACCTATAACCATTTATAAACGGTTAACCATACACATTTAACCATAACCGTTTAATACCCATTTACCCTTTTTAACCTGTTTATCTTTTTTTTTTTTTTACCATTACCCCTTTTTCACTCGTTTACATGTTTTTTAACAACTTGAAATTTAAAAAACAAAAAAAAATTGTCATAATTTTTTTTAACAATTAAACACAGTTATAGGTACATTCATCGTACATTTCCATATTTTAATTTTTTAAATCCTTATATCATTCCAATAATTGAAATAATAATTACGAACGATATTTTTAATTGATATAGAATTAAAAAGCAAGAAAATTAGTTTTATAAAACAAAATTGGAATATAGGATATATAAATTACCGTAACAATGCTAACAAAGAGGGATTAGCTGAAATAGTGAGTTGCAACATGTTTGAGGAACAGATCTTGGGTTGAATTAAGTGAGTGGGGCAAGGGGAATTGTTATTTATTTTCCTAATTTTTTGAGAAAACTTTTACGACTAATCCATGTTACCAATGAAGGTAATATAATATTTGTTAAGTATTTTTTGTTACAAAAACTGTTTAGAAGACAATATTCTTGAGTTGTTTAACCTATATAATGTAAAGTATTAACATAATATATATAATTAGCTATATAAACCATGCACTATAGTCAATAGTATTGATGTAAGTTTTGTTCGATAGAGAACATGGTTTGTGTTAATTTTACATATATAAAATAAATGGGTAAACGGTTACCCGTTTATAACTACGGTTAATACCCATAAACACCCATTTAAATTTCAAAGGTAAATGGTTATACCCATATCCGTTTATTTATCTAAACGGTTACTTATAATCTTAACCATAAGATTTAAATGAATGGGTAACCGCGGTTACCCATATTCGCATATATTTTGACCATCCCTAGTCACATGGATTAGCAGTAGTTGAAGTAAATATGGATGGGACGTGCACAGAGGGGCCAATTGTCACCCCGCACAAAGTTCGGGTGGTTAAATGGAAAACATTTAGTTTAATGTGGCTAGTTTCACAAAGTGAAACAATTAAGGTGGCATTTGTGCAATTTCCAAAAGAAGAAAACAAAAACCTTTCGTTCTGGTAAAAAATATCAGTTTGAATAGTTGAAGCCGTTCTGAAGAACCTGAACACTGCGGCGCCCTATTCTGTCGTATCGGAGAGTGTAGGGCCACCCAACCAACCTCCAGCAATGGCGGAGAGTGAGAGTCGAAGCGTCCCCGAAGAGACCTTGAAGCCCTTTTACCAGAGGGCCTCTGAAGCCGAGGTATGTTTCCCACCTTTTACTTGTAGCCTTGATATCCTTCTGCTTCTCAACTCTGCTCAACTCTGTATATATACATACATGCGTGTGTGTGTGTGTATCTATATATATATATATATATTTATCGTGAAGGTGGAGCGTTAATGGTGCCAGTAATTGGCGATTTGGGTTTTGATTGGTTTGTATCTGAGAATCATGCGTTCGATTAGGATAGGTTATATGTTGTAGGTTCTTTAATTAAGAAGAGGAAGTCTAGGGTTTGGATTAGGAAAGTTTATAGGTTCGATTCCCTCTAATGTAACCAAAATAAAAAATTTAGGGTTTCATCTTCATGGTCAGTGGATGAAGATAAGTCTCAATTTCTCTCACTCAGTTTTTGGATTAAGAACTGTTGTGTTTACAAGTCTTCATGTTCAGTGCAATTGTCTAATGGTATTTGAAATATACCACAAGTCCATGATTGGGAAGAAACAAATGAATCCCTTACTTTTCTGCGTAAGTTTGTTTGAAAGAACATCGATAATTTTGTTTCAACAAGTACAAAACAAAAGGAAACGTAATATTATTTGTAATTCATGAATGCAAAAATAATGTCTACCCTTCACATTCCATTATTCCAATGAGACATTGATAGTACATAACTACTTATAGAGTTGTAGTTGAGAAGCTTTTAAAGCTTTTGAAGCTATAGTTTGATAGTGATGGTTTCAGGACCTTGTTCTTAAATTCACAGCTTTCAATAATTGTCGATTCACTCTGACTTATCGTTATCCCCCAAGGGATTTATTACCACCACATTCTTATTTGTTTTGCTCCAACTGATCTGAAAGCCAACTCTATGAAAGTAGGCATAAAACTCTATCGTGCACAGACTAGTGATATGCTGATGAATAATATTTGATTGATTATGTAATGTTTGATGATAGAAACTTACCTTCTCCTATTTGGAATAATTTTCTGTTTCATTGCTTCCAATGTAGCCCTTATCATCTTCGTAGATGAGCTGTTTTCTACGAGAAAAGTATATATTTCTAGTTTATGTAGCATGTTTGATGACTGAAACTTTTGGTTTTTCCACTGTAACCTTGCTAACTTGGCATATTTGTTACATAGGACCGCTTATCAAGACTTGAAGCTGCCCTCGCAAGCAAGAAGGGTAGGTTTTATGGCACCCATTGCGCAATAGTGTTTTGTTCATGGCCAAGAACACAGGACCTTACTTTTCCTCTATTCTCTTTTGTTTTAATTTTTTTTGTTGGATGCTGGTTATGGAACCTTGCAGATTCTGCAACAGATGGTTCTTCAAAGGTGATCAACGAACTCCAGTCACAGATAAAAGATGCATGTGCGAAGGTGTCTTTAGAAGAAGAAAAGGTATTATTGCATCAATTGTATCTTTTTTTTTTTTTTTTTTTTTTTGTCTCAGTTGGAAAGTACTGAGGAGATATGAAGATCCTTTTTTCTTCATTTTTGGTGACTTGCAGAACAAGAAGCTTGCTGCTGAAAATGCAAAGCTCCAATACCGCATACAGCATCTTGTTCAGGCAGTGAGAGATGGTGATGACAAGTTGGAGAAAATGAAAGTGAGTTATAACTTATAACTTGTAGGGATTGTGTGGAAAAAGTTATAGTGGTATTTCATCGTCCTTTCAGATTGGGGATTTGCTTCCTATAGAAAAAAATATTATGATATGTTAGAAAATATAGCATAGCATCTATTCTGGAAAAGAAAAAAGAGAGATAAAAACTGAATTTATTATTGGACTTGGGTTGATGAGGTCACAATGCTATGCCAACCTTTAGTCGTTCTACAAATTTTACTTGAGTTGACACCTTGGCTTTTTGACCGTTGGTTTGCTTGCATTTAATCAAGTGCGTCCCATGCCTAGTTCCGATGCAGCACCTTCACTTAAGCACCTAGAACCAATACCGGGTTGAGTTAGACCCGGTGGACTCATCTAGGTTTGGGTTTTGTAGCTCTTAGTTGTGGACCACCTACTTTTAACTTGTCGATTGCTGTGGTACATCTCCAATGTGGGATTATGCCCATCACATCCATGGCTTGTTTATCTAGCCAAACAACCCCAACATGTAGGTGTTCTTGTTAGCATCACTGGTTTGAGCAATAGTTTATCTCCCTTTAGTTACTGGGAAGATTGTTCATTGTGAAATTTTCTTGCGTTTTATATGTGAATCAGTTTGTTGCCAAAATTTCTCGCCCGTGTGCATTCAGAGCGTGTCAAGAGGCAAAAAAATTGTATGATAATAATAATAGAAGTTGAATATCCCTGCAAGAAGTCAATCACCTGGGTTTTTTTGACTGACTGAGTCAAATTTAGATAGTACGATACTACGAATAACTATAAACACTTTTCTTTAGTTTCACTAAATTCCTCCATTTTCTTTTCGCAAATACATATTTGCAGTATTGGTTGTTGAAAAGGGGGTCATAAGGATGATTTGTCTTTCAGTTTGATATTTTCAGTCCGTTTTAGATGCTTTTGTTAAGCTTTATACCATACATGGCGCATCCAGTTAATATCTATATCTGATTTTGTGCGTGTATGTAATTAATTCCTTTTAATTCGACAGGAAACGATGCACGAGTAACTGGAGACATGGAAGTCGGATGCATATGATCGTGAACCTATATAATTATTCCTCGCTAACAGATTTGAGCTGGATTTGCTACATTATAAATATATAATTATTGATAAATGTTATACCGCATGATTCCAACATCTTGTACATTTTTTTAGCTTTGCCTTTCCGGCAGAGAGATGCTAGAATATATAATGTTGCCTTGCTACTTAGGATTGAGGAGATCTCAACCCTTTGTCATATTTCTCAAATTTTAAACATAATATGAATTATTCAAGGTTCTAAAACATGCTAGGCTAGTGTCTAGGCGGACTAGTTGATTTAAGCAAATTTACTATACCTATAAATATTCATAATTTTATTGGGATACATAAATTACAAAATAATATGACATATAGATTATAAAGTATTAGAATATATTGAAAATCTAAGGAACAAGCATATAAAGAGTATCATTTAAACATTTAACAGGTCTCTTATATTTTATTGACAAAAAAATGCAAAATGAGAATTACCGATTTTCTGTCAAAGTGAGGTTTGTGACCTAGACAGGTGTCTAGTTGAATTTAGACGGGCTAGGCAGACGCCTAAACGGACGAGGCGGACGCCAAAGCTGGTTTAGGCGCTCTTTCTTAATTTTCAAATGTCTAGGGATCAATCGGGACGGTAACTAACTGCCTAGTGCTTAGATGGGGATTTTTAAAACAGTGGAAATATTAGAAGACTAGCTTGTCCTAATGTAAAAATGACATTGGACCTTTGTCCTTATTTCATTTCTACAAAGTTTGATTATACAAAAATAAAATAAAATAAAATAAAACATTTTGTATTACATATTACTTTAAGGGGTGTTGTTACTTACACTCTAAAAATGCTCATTAAACACACTAACTTTTTTTGTGTTTAAAAAGAAAATACATATAAAAATGCAGAATAAAACATTGAGGTGTTGTGAATAATTCAAGGCATTCACATGAACAATTCAAGTAGACTGTTCCTTGTTGACTCCATTTGAATTATAATCTTTATTGTTAAGATAGTGACTTGTGAGACTCACTCATATATTTGAGAACAGTCTTGGTGAGTTCGTGCTTCAAGGAGATTGACTAGCCATTCATTCGAGGACACTTTTAGGCATTTTGGAATGAACTTCGTCAACATTTTTGTGACGCTACATCCGTCAGTTATTAATGAAAATGTTCTTGATATACAAAGTGAGTAGAAAAATATAATGAGTGGGTGTCAATTGCAATACCGTCTTTGTTTACGAATCACATTTTACTAGTAATTTTATACAAAATAGGAATGAGGGTTTGAACCCCGGATATAATGGAGGAAGAGAAAATTCTTAACTACATGGCCAATGTTTTTTTACAAATCCTATGGTATCGCACACACCCCAGAAGGTGCATTTTTTCTCACAATCCTCAAGTAAAGATGATGCTCAACACCTATTTACCACTATTAGTTTATTGAATGAGTTTAAATTTTAAAATTATCTATCCATTGCACAGATTTTAAAATTTAAATTCATCAAATTGTGATAACTAGAACGTCGAATAACATTACATCATCACTTGAAGACAGTGAGCATAAATATTCCTACACTGCGAAGGTTAAGACTAATCCTAGTGGAGCCCAAAAATACAAAAAGCATTTCAGCCCAGCTTGACCACAGTCAAATGACACAACTAATCTTCCAAAGTTACCCTTACACTGTTCAATAATTTACAACCACCATCCATCCAGCTGCTAAAAGCAATAATCCGACGCGATAACCAATTCCTCCTTCCTCTCTGACGCTCATCTCTCCACCACTTCTTTTTCTCCAGGCGGAAGCGGCTCCTCCGGTCCTCCTCCACTCAGGCAACCGGTATCCGTCATTTCCTCTCTCTTCCTTAATTTTTCTCTTTGGGGTTTATTTTGAGCACATTTCTCTCTCTCCCTCTCTCTCCCTCTCTGTTTTTGATTCTGCATTGCAGCAAATGGGTAGCTTGATTTTTGTTCTTTTCTCTCATTAATTAATTTCCATGATTCCGAAATGGCTTAAGACCAATTGGGTTTAATAATTCCTGGGTTTTATTTCACCAATTTGTTTACTTGGTTAAAACCAAGTTGCTTTTATTGCAATTTGGTAAAAAAAATTATGGAAATTGTTGTGATGGAAATTGTTGTGATGATAATGCATGTGAAAACTTGCCTGATAAGTGTTTGATGAATTGCATATGTTTAACTTTGTATTTCTTGCCACTCATGTGGACAGGATTAGCCTGAAATGAAATGCTTCTTTGGGATTTGCATGTGGGTTTCTCCACTCTATATATTTCATGTAGAATTTCATTGTCAGTTTTTTCACTGATGCTTTTCGAAAGACATGCAACAAATGCATGCTGAATCTGGGTCCTCAGTCGTTTCCTTTCTTTCGTTTCTCGATCAGATTGTTTTCCTTTGCGATATTAGTGGTTATTAAGACATTCTACATATGAATTCCGTTAATAATGGTGTTCTATGCGAACTACATTGTCATTTCTTGCGCTTGATCTGCTTTGTGTGGGTGAGAGAGATAGGCGTAATCTTCAAGAAGGTTGTTAAAGTATGCTATTGGTGAGTTGAGAGAAAGGGATTTGATTGCTGGTGGTAACGTTTCAAATGTCTCACAGCATTCTTATGTGTGAGTGGGTTGGTTGCGGGGTATGTGAAGAAAGAACGAGAGCTAATCCATGTAAGTGAAAACATTGGCTGGTCTGGAACAAGGATGGCACCATATTCATTTGTCTCACAGAGAAATAAAACTTTAAAATATTTTCACTGTCACAGTAATTGCTTGATTATATGAACCTACTAATTTGAACTTGTTGCAGATTCCAAAATTTTAATCCGCAGCAGTGATGGATGGCTTGTCTCAGGCGACAGGATCTAATCCTGCCATAGGGTTAGATTTTAACAATTTTCAAAGTGGGGTGGCAAATGATGATCAGCGCTTTCTCTTGTACTTCATTATCGGTACCTACTTTGGGCCTGATCTTAAAGGAGAGAGGCCATCAAAGTCAGTGTTGCAGAGAATAGCTGAGCGACTTCCACCATATACTATTGAGCAACTAGGTGGCTCCCGCCTGAAAATGGCAGAGGTAGGGCAGGTGTACTATTATGTTCTTCGGAAGGCTGACCAATCTGCCATTGTTAAATTACCTTTGTTAAGCCAGTTCTTCCATGGTAGCCTCCGTACCCGTAGAGAAGATGCCACAGCCAATTACCCTCAGTTTATGGATCTCTTTCCTCTTCTACTCCACCCCCATTCACAGTTCAATAACAAAGATGATATCTTTGAGAACATTGTATTTATTCATAACCCAGAAATATATTACATTAAGCCAAAGGATATCGAACGATTTAAGAGGCTTACTGGGCTGGAGGATTTTCTTCTGGATAGAGATGCTGCAAGGCTGCATACTGTTCCTGATGGAAGTGTTTTACATAATGTGTTGGAGCAGGAGCTGAAGTCCAATGGTGAGTCACCTCCTGCTAGTTCTTGTCAAAGTTCTAGGGGAACGAAACATTTAGAGGATCTCATGGAATTGAAGGATCCTCTGAAACCTATGCATGTTGAAGCACCTATCAGTACTGTTCCAGATTGTGGTACTCCTATGATGCATAGTTATATGTCCCCGCACACGAATAAAACAACCTCTGAGCCTGTGGAGAAACTTGATCGTGCTATGATTTTTCTTCCTTCTCTTCCAACTAAAAAAGAGTTGTCCAATATTGTAGCTGCCACCAGAGATGGATTTGCATTGACTGGGAGTGCGGCAATGGCGAAGGTGGGACCAACGATAGGGCTCATTGACATTGGAGAATGTGATGACTCCTACCTGTTTCGTGTATCTCTTCCTGGAGTGAGAAGAGATGAAAGTAAGTTTCTCTATACAACTTAGATATCTCTTGTATCTCTCTCATATCGCAGTCACATACTTATCTCTGTGGCCACCTGTATTGCCTCTTTGATACTACCACTTTTATACGTAATCAAATGATGTAGAGTGATGATCCGCAGGGGAATTCAGCTGTGAAGTTGAAAATGAGGGCCAAGTATTGATAAGAGGAGTGACGGTAACAGGCGAGAAGACAGTCCACAGGTACTCTCAGATGTTTGAAATGCAAACACAGAATCTTTGCCCTTCTGGGCAGTTTTCCATCTCGTTTCAGCTACCTGGTCCAGTTAATCCGCAGCAGTTTTCTGGTAATTTTGGGACGGATGGAATTCTGGAGGGAATTGTGATGAAACGAAAAGATGACAGTAGTAAGTATGCGTAGCTAAAGTTTAGTGAGCCACTGTATATTTGTTAGGAACATTGACATAAGGAGTTCTGTTCTTGCCAAATTCCGTTGCGTGATATTGTCATTGAATTGATGTCTGCAAAATGTTGCAAGTGCCTCAGCTGATATCGTCATTAGATCCTAAATGCGCGATATCAACTGAGGCACCGGTAAAATGGCAGCCTAATAAATATTTAACCCTGTAATATGGTAACTAGAGAAAATGGTTGAAAAAATGATGCATGAATTTCCAACTTATTTGGAGATGCTTCAAATTATGGACAATAGGGAGGGACAGAGGATCCAGCGATGTTCTGATCTAATTTAAATTACACGGAGATGTATCCGAATTTGGATGCAAAAGAAGGGAGGGCCAAACCCTACGGCCACCCCTTCAACTGACATGGGGGGTTCCAAGTTAAGTTCCGACAGGTCCAAATTATTACCAATACTGAAAATTCTGAAAATTTTGAGTATTTCGATCGAGAGTTTCTAGAATTTCAAAATTACAAAATAAATTGGGAGTGGGTGAGAGAGAGGACCGATAAGGAGAGGGAGAGAAGAGCTTATGTGTATGTGAATTGGGCGTTCAACCCTAAATGGGGCACGGCTGAATCTAAAAGAGAAAGGAATCGTGCGGCTAGACTTATTTTAGGGCTCTAAAGAAAGAGTTGGAGAGTGTTTGAATATGATTAGGACTTTTCGTTGCAGCTGCGAGTTTCGTGATGGCTGCTATGAAGGGGCAGGGGGATGACTCTTCCGCTTTTGGACCGATTGTCAACGACTTGAGATGCTTTATTGCAGGAATGCCGCACTCGATGATCAACCTTGCTCAACGGGAAGGAAATGAGGCGGCACATCGTCTTGCTAGGATGGGTCTTAGTAGCTCTCAGGAGTGCGTGTGGTTTGAGGAACTTCCGGATTTGATTCAGGTTATATTAGTCGAGGAGGGATTGTAATTTATTGTTTCATTGATGTTGATTGTTCATTTGAGGATAGGTTCCAGTTTGTGCGAGATACTTTTTTCCTTAGACCGGGTTGAAAGCCCTGGCAAGGTTTTTATCGAGGCCCAGTGAGCACACTATCCTCAGGATATACGTATTCTTTGTTTGCCTAATGAATATCGTACTTTGTTTCAAAAATAAGATAAGATAAGATGAGATAAGATAAGGTAAGATAAGATAAGGTGCACAAAAATTGCTTATCTCTTGATAGTGTTTCACTCCAACTAGGACTCATCTTCCTTGTGCAATTCCTTGTCTTCCAAGTCTCAACTTTAATTCCTCCATATTTTAGTACATGTTTAACACCTTAATTCCTTGTCTTCCAAGTCTCAACTTTAATTCCTCCAGATTTCACCTTTTAAACTCAAAAAATGTCCCGCCCATATGCTATTCACGCATGTTATCCAATCCAAGTCCAAAACTGCTCCTAGTTGCTCCATTTGACCTCTAATTGTCAACTTCACCAACTAGACCTACAATAGAACAAAATATAACTTAAATCACTATAGCAAATGGAAATTGACTAAGTAAATGCAAACAAATAAGATAACAAAGTTGTATAAGTATGCTCCTGTCAAATTCCCTCACACTTATCTTTTGCTAGTCCCCAAGCAAAACAAAGAAAACAAAACAAAAACCTAAACCATCCAACAATTGCCTCAGGGATTTCCAACGAACCATGACATATAAAAAAAATCACTACTTAGTACTTACATAGATTTTAGCCATCTTACACTTGAGCTTATACTTAACCTCAGCAACCACTCACTAGCTCGCCATTAATCAATTAAAACAACATTTGAAAGTAGTAACATGTCTTAGAGAATTCAACCAATTCCTTACCGGATATCCTCTCTATTTTCACAAAGATTTTCTAGCTACACTCTTTATACTTACTAAGTGTACATGAGAAGTTTGATGTAAACATGTAGATTAGCACTCACATATGTTATAACAATGAAGACACTTTCTAGAATTACTAATACTTCATATATATATGATCTCATAAACTAAATGTCACTTCTTAGAAGCGAGAACTAGGGATCCTACATGCTCATACTAATTTCAAACTCCACATATTCAAACACACAACAATCAAGATAAAAGTTTAAGAATGAGGCTCAGGTATTGGCTAACAATGAAAGGTTAAGGATAAACAAAAGGTCTTAAAGAGATAGTAAGTAAAGTAATGAAATCAACACTTAAAATTTAACTTTTGATCGCAGTACCCAACTATGAACACAAAGGGAGATCCGACAGCCCAGTTTCAATTTCAATTGAGCGTTGCAGGGAAACCCTAAAACACCAAGATCAAAGTCTAATTTTAGGCAAAACCCTGCTACCACTACTCATGAATATGCTGATCTAAGAGTAATACTCATTTGAAATAGAAAACGAAAATACAATGGTGATGAATATTTATTTTCGTTGGGTGAGTTTCAATTTTTAGATTTGTGTCTATCCATTATACAGATCTTGAAATTTAAACTCATCTAACAGTGATAAATAGGGTGATAAGTATCACTATCACTTGAGGGTGGTGAGCAAAAATATTCTCCTAAAATAGTATGGGTACTAATTTCAACAAACTTTTTTTTCTCTTCGTACATCCATTCATGTTTAATTCTGACCACTAAATCGAATATGGAAAGAAAATCAAAGGAAAAAAAAAAGATCAAGTGTGCAAGTAGAGAACAAGATTATAAATGAGAAAGTAGAGTGAAGTGAACTACATTAGCGAGACGAGGACAAAAGAAAATAGTAATTTAAGAAAGGACAAATTGGTAATTAAAAGTATAACACCGCGCTACTTTGACGCCAAAGTTTCAAATTGGAGGCAAATCCTAACGCGTAACGGTAACATAAGCGGTCTGAGTCTCCTTCTCCTTCTGGGATTTGATGATTTAACCTATAAAAAGGGAAGAGTGGAGTTCTTACAAACACTTGCAACTTGCTACTGCGAGAGAGAGGTATAGAGAGCAGAAAAAACAACTGTCTTCTTCTTCCTTCGATCGTCATTCATTCTTCTCCTTCAATCTCCATCGATTTGATCGCAATACCAATCTGGTTACTTCTAAGAACAAAGCGATGAGGAAGAAACTTACATCTGTTTGGGCCCACAATTTTAAGCAAGAAATCTCCTCCGTCGATCGGTGTCTCTGCCGTTTTCCGATCGTCTCGTTCGACACCGAATTTCCGGGGTTTCTCCGCAACACCCCCAGAGGGGCTTCCGAGGGCCTCTGTTACCAAGATCTCGCATTTAACGTCGATTCTCTCAAACTCATCCAACTGGGTATCACCCTGTTCGACGACGGCGGCAACGTCGGCGGCACCTGGGAGTTCAACTTTCGGGGTTTTGACGAGGAAACCGACCCCCATGTTCCAGAATCCATCGCCCTCCTCAAAACCAATGGCTTGGATCTCGAGAAATTTGGGAAGTTCGGCATCGATTCGGATATTTTTGTGGAGGGTTTCGTTGAGATTTTAAGGGTGCACAGGGGGCGGCTCGTATGGGTGAGCTTCCACGGCCTCTACGACTCGGCCTATGTAATGAAGCTGGTGACGAGGAAGACCATCCCCAGCTCCCCCACTGAATTCGCAAAGATGGCAGGTCGTTTGTTCGAGAGGGTCTACGACTTGAAGTTTATGGCCAAGTACTGCCCGGGCCTATTTGGGGGCGAAATTGGGCTCGAAAGAATGGCGAAAATCCTCGGAGTGCAGCGTTGTGGGGATGCCCATCAAGCGGGTTCCGACAGTCTGTTGACGGCTGAGTTATTCCTGAAGATGAGGAGTCAATTTGGGTTGAAGCCTGGAATGTACGAGGGATTTCTATATAGTCTTAGTCCAAAGATTTGTGGTGCTTCTAATTATCTTTGTTCCTCTGTACACACCGTACACAGAGCTCCTCCTCATTCGGTGATTCTTGTCCCTGCGGTCCCCACAAGACCCATCATTCTCATCCGCCACCCCTTCTCCCGTGATAAATCATGCCAGAGCCGCCATCATGCTGCCCCAGTTATGCTTTACCGCCATCCTCCTCCTCCCGTGTTTCTGCATCGGCGTCCATGTAGTCCTTTTCCTGCTTTGCCTCAAGCCCTTCCTGAAAACCACATTCACATGTGAATTAATGTAGTTAGAATATACGGTTCATATGATATCCATATTTGTAACACTCTTGTAATTGTCCATACATTGCAATTCATTCATTCATTCATTCATTCATTCAATTAATGGAATAAAGTTTTTCAATCAGTTCAATTTTCTTATTTTCATCCCTTTTATTCAACTTGCTTGAATAACAAGTGCAATTTACAAACAAAATATAACCCATTTACTCAGCAGAAACTTGTTTCATCAAATCTTGTATGCGCTATACAGAATCTCAAATGTGAAAGTAAAAGTTTGTGAACAAAACAGTAGCTAGCGCAAATCTGACCTATTCCCAACAAAATGGAGAGACAATAGAGAAAAACAAAACTGTACACCAAACTCTAAAATTATGGACAACCAGGCTTTCGGCTATTTTCTCAACCAGAACATCTTTCCTAAACTTTAGAATAATTTTTCAGGTTGATTGCCTGTGTCGCCAACTGCTTCAGTTCAATTACGTTCTCCTTCTGAAGATCGTCCTTTTTGGATAGACTGCACTCTGAAGATCTTCCATGATGCCACCATCAGTTGCAACCTTGTGTGAATCTTCAACCCTAAATCTACATTCAAACCTTTAATCTCTGCAGTAAGTGGGAAAGTACCTTCCATCTTCTTTTACTACTGTGAAACTGAAGTCCCTAACATCTCTGTACCTTAATAAATTCCAAGTCATCACCAAAAGTTGTTGCACGAACAATCTCTATTTCTAAAATGATGAAAACGGACTTTATCTCTCATGACTATCTAGCTTTTGGTAGCCTTCAAAACAAAGTTACAAAAACTATGGCAGTCATCTCATCACACCCTCAAATTTTCACCACCCTAACGGGGGTTTCAGTTCTTAGATTTATACGACAATGCGACGGAAAGCTTTTCACTTGTCTCAGTAAGGCCTTAAACTTCTCATATATTTCTGCTGACTCTGGCAACCTGTCTCCACCATAGAACTTTTGGAAGTTTCCATTACATTCAACTGAGATGTATGCAGCTATTTTCTTGACTTTTTCACATCCTCACCTTATTGACAAAGTTCCACCCTCCAGCAGCCACTTACATGTTTGACATTAAGACATGATACCAACCAATATCAGCAGCTAATTCGAAATGCAAATCAACTGCATGCTGGCCCAGTACAATATTTTGGTGGATTCGCCAGGCACCCAATATAGCTCCCCACCCTCCAGAATCTGGGCAAACTTTTTATGAAATTATAGAGGCAGGTCTACCATACAAGCACAGTGCTCAACTTTCGGTTGAATATTCTTGTCACCAGAATGGACCATGTTACTGAAATAAGCCTTGCCTTCATTTACTAGCCCAGCATGGCTATATGCAGATAAAGTTCCCATATAGATGACATGGTTTCGTCTCACTCCTTTTCGCATCCTTGAAAACATATCCAATGCCTTTCCACTCTCCATGTTTACAGTGTATGCTAATATTCCTCTGAGGCATACCCTTAAACAAAGTCTCAGCCATGTCAATGCAACCGCATTTCACATGCATATCAAGACACGCATGGGCAAACATTATATTGCATACAATCCCATATTTTCTCATGATCTCGTAGATTTCTTCCCCATTCTCCAAACACCCTAGTTGCCCGCAAGCCAAAAAGGCACTCACAACACTAACATCATTAGGCTTAATACCATTCGTATCCATCTTGCGCAACAATGCAAGAACCTTAATGGCACGTCCATTCTTCTGCCCACAAATCGCAACGAAAGCACCCGAAGCAATAAAATCTCTCAACCATAGTGTCAAACAGAAAATCCGCCACACACCATTCCCCAAATTTCACATACAGTGATGACCTTGTCCTTTGGCCTGCCACTGCCTAACATTTTCTGAACCGGAAAGAGTCTTCTCCATTACATGATGATATTATCAAGAATCATGAAAAGAACCTTCTGATTTAGACCTTTTTCCCAGGTTTGGTTCTGCTTTGAAACCATCAGATCCAGACTAATTCCATGGTGGATATTGGGTTTGCTCTGGAACCACACCAAGTGTGGCAGTATGCCGGATCAAGATTTTTCGTTCACATGCCTCTTAGGCCTCTTGGGTTTCGTAGCTTGTTGATCAGTATTTTGTAAGGCATCATTCAAATCATAGCTATCCGGTTCGTCCATGCTTTGTAGATTCTTCGACCTTTGAGTTTTTGCGCCAGTTGCAGCTAAAGAATCCTTCATGTCCAGTACCTTGAGGTGCAGATGCAGGGTTTGTTAGATCATTTAATGAGGCATTGCCTTCTGTATCGACCCGTATACCCTTTGTTTGTTTCTTCTTTTGTCTACCCTTAACCTGAATAGAGGCAGCATTTTTCTGACTAGCTCTTTGCAGAATCTTCTCTTCAACTGTTTGTTTAAATGACTAGAGGGAACAAGAGAGATACCATACAAGCATGGGGTCTCCAAAGAAGCACACAAACAAATGGCTCTAAAGAAACCAGGAAGTCTAGGGTTGGAATGGATTTGGCAAACAAAACTTAGAGCTTTTGCGCGACCCAACCGATGGCTCTATGATCGATTCATTGCTTGTAGTCTCAGTGTTGGGTTCCAATCACTTTGGTAAAATATGACCCCTGCAAGAAGACAAAGCATAAGAGTTGAGAAAAGAAAGCTCATGTGATAAATGAAGTCCCTAGCGTTGCTGCAAATCTCTAACCACCATTATCCATCAAGTCGTTGTAGGTATTTACATTTCCTTTACTGCACATCTAGAGTTATCAACAAGAGAATATAGGCAAACAGTTGGAACACAAGTGGTAATACTATATGGTGCGGTGCGGTGAAGGTTTCCAAAAGGACGAAATAACTCGGTTAACATTAGCACAACCAGAACATCGAATTCAAGTTTTTCACAACATATTTCTTCACTCAATCAACAGATGCAAAAAATAAAAGGCTCCAACCAACCTAAATAAGCATTTGATTTCCTTAACATCCGCACATAAACAAGGCATCACCACCTTATGCTGCTGACTGACATGATCTCACACACACCATTCTTGAATTTACTTTGTAGTGACTAATTACCTCAAGAATATTCAGCATTTTCGCCATTTGCGCAAACAAGAGAACACGATGCTTGTCTTGTCTGCCCTCGAGCGTTTCAACAATGTACCAAATGTCAGAAGTTTCCAAGAATTAATCCTATCTATATACATGTATGTATGTCTTAAAGTAGATAATCTCATCGTCTTTTGACACTAGAGTACGATTCAGAGACAGAAAAACCAAAAAAAGGTGAACATTGCCAAATGACCCGATTCAAATATCAATTCTGCCGGATCCAGTTGATCTGCAAAACCAACACACAAGCTTTTTTTTTTACGGCCAAAATTCCCAAATTTTGCTATTCGAATTATTACTCAAATTTAACACTTCCAATGGCACTTACACCTTCTACGACACGACGGTATGGTATGCTTGTCGAGTACTTCATCTGTGGCAAAGCGGGCACTGAATCGAATCGGGGGAGACTCGGTTGGAGGCGGAGACAACACGTCCCTTCAAATAGACCCAACATTTCAAATACACATTTCAGTCAAAATGATCCACCGTCTCCAACTCAGAAAATTTAGATTTTAATCCAAAAATAGTTATTCTTCTCTAACTTTTTTGGGTTAAATTTTTAACCCGATTATTAAAGTAAATTTAGGATAATTTTTTTAAAGTAACTTTTTTTAAAAGAAAAAATTATGTAGATTATCATCAATTAATTTTATAAATATTTTAACTTAAAAATATTTAGATTCCTATAAATATTAAAAATCACTACAATAGCATCATGAAACTCATGGAACACTACGAAAAAATATGAAACATATAAAATAAAATTTTTAATTACTTTAATTGTTGGATTTAAACTTGGACCGTTATAATTTTTTTTTATCATTGAATTTGATCATATTATATTTTAGCAATTGGATTCAATGAATCTATAAATATAAAACAAAAAAAATAACAAATATATGGTGGGCCAGCCCCCAATAACCCAGAGGAAATCTTAGGCTAAATTTGGCCCAGAAATGAGTTTTAGGTTTTAACTCATATTTGTCTCAAGAGTTGGAGCAAGTTGGTGTAAGTTTAGAACCTAAAATTTGAGTTTTACTCCAAGGGCTGGAGTAGGTTTTAGCAAAACTCCTTATTTTAGTCTCTGTGATTTAAAATCAACATAACTGGTTCCTGAGTTTGTTATCATCAATCATTTTGGTGATTTCGTGAGAAATCTTTATTAAATAAGACTAAAATGACAAAAATACTCTTAATTTTGCAAATCATTTTGGTATATTGTTTATCAAATTTAAGGTATTTTCGTAATTTGGTTCTTATTTAACAGAATTTTCACACCAAAATGATTGATGGTGGACAAACTCATGTCTATTGATGTCATATATGAGGGACCAAATTGATGAGTTAAGTCAACCTTGAAAACAATTTAACTAAAAAGCCCTTGAAATATTATAAATATTGAGTAATATACTTATATTAAATTATTGTTTAAGTATTAATTAATATACTTGATCATACGTTGCAAATTTAAGCTTAAAATTTGGTCTATTAAAGATATTAGGTTACATTGTTGAAGCAAGATGTTACAATTGTCACGCGTCAATACTTGTTTTGGAACATGAATTGTCAGAGCAACTCGGTGGTTATTACTTGCTTGCCACGTTTGCATGTTCCTTCCACCTACACGTCGCCGTCCAACAACAATACACAAACCCACATAGCTTATTCGAATACTCAAGTAAAATTATATAAATAAAAATCTGAAGAAAAAAATATGCAATTATTGTAAGCTTATTTGATTGAACGATCTAGGTTTAGAGAGAGAGGGGTTCGGCAATATTGAGAGAGAAGAGAGATTGATTTAATTGTGAGGTATGTTTGATTCACCTCATTGTGCCTTTATTTATAGTAGTAGGTAGGGTAAAACTCTTCCCTTTAGGATTACAATATTTAATAGGTAATATAATCCTAATAGGAATATAAGGGCCTGTTTGGTACTCTGCTTGAAACCAACTTTTTAAACTAAAAAACAATTTTCAAGTTTTAAGCTTTAAAAACTTGTTTGGTAGGACTATTTTCAAAAACTGAACTCAAGACTAACTCAAAAATATAGTATATTCTCTAAGAGCAACTCCACCCATGTGGGTTGCTCGGGGGACAGTGGAGAAGAAGGGGCCGGAGGCCCGGTGGAGAGAGGTCCAGCCGTGTGGAGGCCGAGCGACGGTGGGAGCCCGAGCGAAGGGGGGGTGGGGAGTCGATAGGCCTGTGGCCCGAGGGCTTTGCAATTTTTTATTTTTTTTGTGTCAGAGAAAGAGAGAGAGAGAGAGAGAGGGGGGGTTTTTTTATTATTTAAACAAACAAAAAAAACTATTATTTTAATTGCTTATTGCTAGGGGGGAGGGTTCCAAGGATGGAGATGTAAATGGCAATTACTGTTCATTAATGGTAGTTACTATTCATTTAAGGCAGTTACTGTTCAATAGGGTGGATTGAATAGTGGATTGCCAGGGGGTAGGGCTCCATGGGTGGAATTGCTCTAAAAACATAAAAAGTGAGTTTTTAGAGTTTTTAAACTTACTCCTTTCTTTTCTCTCCCCTCTCCCTTCTCACTCCAAATATCTCTCTCTCTCTCTTCTTCTTTATCTCTCCTTTTTTTTTTTTTACCTTTTTCGTCTCTCCTCCAATCCACTCTCTTCATTCTCTCGGTTCTTTATCTCACTCTCATCTTCCTCTCTATCTCGTCTGATCCTCTCTCTTCTTTCTCTTTCCTTCAATCATCTCTTACTTTCTTTCATCCTCTCTCCTCTTTCTCCCTCTCCTGCTACCCCTCTTTTTAGATCTCTTTATTTAGTTTAAGTCGTAAGATTTAAAAAATTTAAATCTCAAACCACTCAAGTTTTTTAGTTTTAAAGAAAATTATTTTCAAGAAATGTTTTTAAGAAATGTTTTGAGAAATGATAAAAAATTTCAAATATGATACCAAACAGACCCTAAGATACTTTCCCAGATTCCCTAGGATTTACACAATCACATTCCTGTTCTAAATATGACTGCAACACTACCCTTTGAGTGTGTAAATACTCAACAAACAATCGCATCAGATCTTCAGCAGATAAGGTAGAATAGTTGATAAAGTCATCGGCACAACGGGTGATCGTGAGTCTCAAATTTAAGTGAAGTATGCATTTGTAATAAAACTCACAAAACCTCGCTATGGTAAAACCCAAGGCATGGGGAAAACCCATAGACTAAGGAGAAAAGTGAGAAGTATGTATAATGTCTAAAACGAACGTCAAACTGGACGAAGGTAGTAAACTTAACGGAGTATGATCATCCCAGGATGAATGCCTCATTAAAACCTCGTTAGGTAGCAAAAACCCAGTGGGAAAAAATGCCCTTAATCATGGGAAAAAGAGTACATTAAGATCATGTGAGTATGCTTCTAGAGACTCCCCTGAGTTAGACATAACTTCTAAATAAGAGAATTACAAGCGATTCAACTCAGATAATTTACGCATACCGATTCCTTGCACGAGCTTCTGAAATGTAGACTTGGGCAATGACTTGGTAAAGAGATCGACCAGGTTGTCTTGGGAACGGATTTGCTTGACTTCAATGTTCTGATGCTGCTGCTGGTGTGAGTAATAGAACTTTAGCGATATGTGCTTGGTGTTGTCTCCCTTGATGTATCCCTTCTTCAGCTGCTCGATACATGATGCATTATCTTCAAAGATCATCGTAGGAAGGTCAACGACTGATGTAAGACCACTTGTGCTTCGAATATGTTCCATAACTTTTCTTAGCAAAAAACACTCACGTGATGCTTCATGTAAAGCGAGAATCTCAGCATGGTTAGGCGAAGTCGCATCTAGCATTTGCTTGGTAGACCTCCAAGATATAGCGGTGTCTCCAACGGTAAAGACATAACCCGTTTGAGAACGTGCTCTATGTGGATCAGACATATATCCAGCATCTGCATAACCAACAAGGCGAAAATTAATCCGAAGGTCATAGGGGACGGCAACATTTGGAGATTCGCGAGTATAGAACAAACCCAAATCCGTAGTACCTTTGAGATAGCGGAAAATGTCTTTAACACCATTCCAGTGCCTGCGTGTGGGCGCATTGCTGTATCTAGCCAATATATTCACAATGAAGTAGATGTCAGGTCTAGTGCACTGAGCCAAGTACAATAAAACCCCAATTGCAGTTAGGTAAGGAACTTCGGGTTCCAAAATCTCTTCCTCATCCTCGTTTAGACGGAAGGGATCTCGTTTAGCATTTAGAGCTTGAAGGACCATGGGTATACTTGAAGGCTTCACTTTATCCTCATTAAAACGTTGCAACACCTTTTGGGTATAGTTTGATTGATGTACTAAGATTCCATCTGAACAATGCTCAATTTCCAAGCCGAGACAGTATCGAATTTTCCCAAGATCCTTTATCTCAAATTCCAATTTCAAGTGTGTAGCAATTTCCTCAAGCTCTGTTGGAGTCCCAATGAGGTTCATGTCATCGACATAAACTGCAACGATTGAAAATCCGGAATATGACTTCTTTATGAACACACATGGGCATAGTTTGACCTCCGCCGCCGCCGCCACCATGGTCGGGAATGTCCCAAACCCGACACATCATATATACCGAGGCAACACGTGATGATGTGCGGGAATGTCATCCCTAAACCGATGGATGCAGCCTGCTTGACATGCTTGGGAGGCTTGACAAGCAGGGATCACGAATTTGGTCCAATGTTATACCTCTGTTAGCTTGGCTGTGAATTTCTCAGTTAAATTCTAACCTGGCTTGATTCGGGGCCCAGTTCCTCGCCCAGATGGATTTCACGTGGCACCACATCCAATGTTTTCCCGCCAAATGGCATCCATGTTAGAAAATATATTTGATTTTTTTTTTTGGTAATTTGAATTTCAAAATTTCAAATTTGAAATTCAAATTTTCTCGCCAAAAATTGAGACAAAGATGATTTACCATTTTAAGCATAGATTATCATCCTTGACCTCAAATTAGAAAAATCTCACCCAAAAATTAATGATATAACCACAACAAAACAAGTGTACTCAAGCACAAACTACTCATCATTTCCAAGAAAAACATGAAATAGACCAAATTAAGCATAAAACCTACTTAATTATCCATAAATTCATAAACTTGTTAAAAAAACTAACAGAATTCATCTAGCATCTCCAACCAACATTACAAAACCTACTGAATTCATAAAAACCTGCTACATCATCCATTTAATTCACGAAATACGTACTGGATGCATAAAACCTGTTATAACTTTACAATTCCTTTACAAAAAACAACCATATGTGCAAAAAAACGTGCCTGGATTGCTTGGTATTTCTGTGCTTCGTGCCTTTGGATGATTCAGTTGTGGGTTTGCTTAGTCTTTCTCTGCTTGGTGCTTCTAGGTGATTTAACTACTGATTGTGATGCCTAAATCCAAAGTTCATTTAGAGACCAAGCAAGCTTTTTAACTAAATCCAAATGTTTTAGAACTAAGGAAATGGTTCAGTTT